CCTCCACACCGAGTCTTTTCTGTTCCTATTTTAGCGCCAGGACTGCATTCCAAGTTGGGTTCTCTCAGCCCAGTTTGTTCCTGAGTCAGCAGAGCATATCTCTACCGGCTCATGTCTCCTTAGTCCGCACCATTCCTGACTTCTGAGCCGAGCCTTTCAGAGAGCCTCCGGTAGTTGCTGTTATCTGTCTGCCATGTTCTCCATGGTACGTTTTTGTTAAGAAGTTGTTCCATAGTGTCTTTTATATTGAGGCAAGTTGAATTTTCTATCCCCCAAAACATGTTTTAATATATATCCTTTTATGTTCTGTGTCCATCTTCATCACATGTCTACCTGAATATATACCAAAGTAGGTGAAAATACCATCTTTTTCTATGATTATAAATTTCCTTAGCAGAGTTTGTTTATTTTAAATGCCACCTCAGGCTGACAAAAGTCCTTATTTGTACTTAGCAGCTGGGCTGATAGCTGGGCTGTCTGGACACAGAGAGCAGGGAGAAGGAAGATCTGTAGTATATACTATGTGTTCATAAATAGCTTTATGAGTGGTATGTGCTTTTTAGCTAACATAAAAATCAACAAATAATACAGGTTTTAGGGACTGACTTTCTCTGTACCAAGTAAACTAGTATACCAAGAGCGGTTAGGATCCTTAGAGAAGACACTGGCTTTGTTTGTTTGATTGCAGGGTTTTTTAGCATACAAGTAGAACTCTGATGAAAATGCTCTAATTGAAGGAGGGAAACCTTTAAAATTGTTTTAAAATTTTGCACGTTTTCACAAAATACCTCATTGGGAACCAAATAAAAAAAATCAGGCAGAGGGAAAACTACATTTTCCCCAAAGTGATATACAATGTTTTAAAATTTTTAGACACTATATTTGTTGGTAGAATATTAGGATTCTAAATGTCTCTGTAATTACCATCTGGGAAACTTTCAAACACAGTGGGTGCCTTAGAAATGAATGCTGGTTAAAGCATAGGTGTATTGCTGCACCCAGCTTACTGGTTGAGCTGTCTCTTCAAGAATTTGATGAAGCTATCTGAAATCATAACTGCCAAGCCAAGCAGAAACTCACCTGCACTGAAGTCCAAGACTTTGTGTGCAATAGCATTTTAATTAAAAGTTTCCCAATTCCTGAATTTGGAACTCAATTTTTAAGCACGTGTTAGATTGAGCTAGCACATCCAAGCACTATTTTAGGGACCGTGGGGAAAATGTGGCTTTAAAAAAAAAAAAGGAAGGGTAAGCTGAAAAAATCCAGCTGTGTTTTACTTGAAATGGTGCTAATCAAAGTTCTTTTACTCCTGGTTTTGTTTTTGTTTTTTTCCTCTCCAGTATATCTGCTGTCATATGTAGTGGCTCCCCATCTCCCATCCTTTCACTTTTGTCTTTTAAGACTCATTTCCCATAATGATGAAGGGTAAAGCAATGGTAATACTCACTGGCTGTTGTGCATAACAGAGAGCCTCTCTTGCCTTGTAGTTTATCTCTTAAATAGCTCAGAAGCAGCAGGCTATCTTGATCAGAAAAGCAATTAGATTTTACATAGAAATCAAAATTGCTGACTTTAAAACAAATCAAAGTCAGGTTTACATAGAAGTCAAAATTGTCGTTTGACTTTAAAACAGAAATGTAAAGAATATAGAAAGAATATAGTGTTCCTTAAGTAGAAATAAAATTGCTCTCTGGGAAGCAGTTTCCCAATTAAATAAAAAAAAAATCATCACATTAGAACTCAGATTATTCTTGTTTGCGCGGAAGGGATGGGGAGGGGGCAGTTAGGGGAGCAGTCAGAAGAGCCTGGCCAGCAGTCAAGGGACTCACAGCATTCACTTTGAGGTAAAATTAAGTTTCTTGATGAAGACCATTGTCAGATTGGACTGGGAAAAGTTGTTTTAAGCTTATTATTTTCCCAGTAAATCCACATTTTACTTTCCATTAGAGGAGTAAACTGTGGTGCCACAGGGCTGCGAAAACTCTGCAGTTAGTAGATCTAAGAAAAATCAATTCATGTGAAAGTACAGAAGGAGGTAAACATGATTTAGAGGAGACTTGGGGTTACTAATGCTATTATATCAAAATACTTGTACAGATAATGCCTTCCTCCTCCCTGAGACATTCCCAGGCTATTTGATCTTCCTGTTTACTGTAATCTTGCCTCTCTGGGAATTAATTTTGTCTTTGCAGAGATAGTCTTCCAAATACAGGAAGGGCTTTTTTATTTAGTCAGTAGTAATGTTGAACATTAGTAACTTTGGCTTTCAATTCATGTATCTCTATATATACACATTGAACAATGGGAGATACTGAGCTAATTAAAATTTCAATAACTAGAAAGATATTTGAATTATAATTGTAGATGGCTTAGTTATAATATCTTTAATTGAAAAAAGAATTTTATAGACATTCACCAAAGGAAGAAAATACGTGAAGACCCAATACATTTGTGTAAAATGACACCTAGAAACATTAAATTGAGGGCAAGTACTGAAAAGGAAACAATGACTGCGAAAGAAAAATTGTGCTGGTAAGGTGCAGTGTAGGAAATATTTTTTAGTGAGTTGGTGGGAATCATACATTTGAAACAATTTAGCTTCTAAGAGTGGTCCCTAGTAAAGTTTTTAATGAGATTTTCCTCCAACATCAGAGTTTCCTCAATTTCTTTTCTGCAGCCTCTAACTGAGAACTTCTAATGAAAGTAAATAGGAGCCTCACTGGTCCTTCCTTTCTGTTTTGAAGGGTCAGCTGTGCCATGATTTCTGTGTCTGTGAAGCATCTCCGGCAGCCGCAGCTTTTCCCTGCTGTCTTCCAGCTCTAATCTCCTTATAGGTGTAGCTCCATGGCAACAGGCCCAGCCTAGAGCCCAGGAACCTTGTTTGTGTTTCCTGAGGGGCTGGATGCAGCTTGAAGACAGAGAAGAAGAACTAGCTATCTTGCAGGGTTTAAGTGAAGATGATTTCTTATTCTGTTATGTTTCTATTGAAGACTTGAATGACACCTGGAAAGCATTTACCCAAAGATGGTATCAGTAATCAAAGACAGCAAGGAAACTATTTTCCTATTGGTTCCTATCTTCTAAGAGTTGCTTTCTGAGATGTAGTTCAGAAACTGACTTGCTATACCGGAATATGTGGCACCGCTATGATTTGGGGTTGCTCTGCCAGCTGGCTGTACAGTTGCTTCATGTAGGTAGATATTTATTTTGTTTGAAATAAAATTAATTTATACTTTAGAAGTTTTTCCTAGAGAATTTAAGAAGTGAAAGTAGCCTTTTGTCTACCTCCTTCCATTTTTAATATGCCTTAATCTTTGGGTGGCTTTTCTTTCCTTGTTTTATATTTGTTTAAGAAAAATTACAGTGTGTCTTCCCTCAACAGGGCTTCCTATGCAGCATATTGGGAAAGACTGTATAATTTAAAGTCAAAAATCTAGCGTTTTGTTATTTATATTTGATATGCTATAGATGCTGCATGTGACTGCCAAATATCATTGTCTTACCTAGAATTCCATAAGAAAGTAAATGTGGAGCTGATACATTGACATTTTTGTGTACAAAACATTATGTGACATTTAGCCTTTCTGTGCATAGTTTGCATTAGCAATGGAAAATGTTGACTTTTTTACTTTAATAATTGCTAAATATCAGAATACACATTTTAAAAAACTTTGCATGAGGCTGATTATGTGTGTGTAAAGAGGAACAGATTAAAAATCTTACTGCTTAAAATGTTTATTTTATGGAGTTTAATTAAACAACATTAGAATGAAAACCAAAGACAGAGCAGTCTTTAGTGTTAGTTTTCTGTATCTTACTAATTTGTAACTTAATTGAGTATTACTCTGGCATTAAATATTTCAGTTCCTTTTAATGTTATCTTAATTACTTCAGGGAAATGATTGATGCTGCTGATTTAATGTATTTTATAATAACAAATGTCTTCACACAAACATATATTTTCATCCTTTATAAATACTTCTTGAAATACATGTATTTAACCATGAGTGTTTCAGTCAGTGAATATCATCATTACTGAGTAAAAATACGTAGCTATCCAGTTGTGGATTCAGGAACATTATGTTAATGCTTTCAAGAGGAAGGCAGTGAAGCATTAACTTCTGAAGTCATAAGAGTCATGATTCCCAGCATTATTTTTTGAACAATTAAGAAATAAAATCAAGCAGACGCTGATTTGAACAGTGTTGACAATGATCTGTTCTTTATGAGAATTTGGCTTTTTTTTTTCTTAGTGAGTTTCTTGAAGGCATTTTATTCTTTATTCATATTTACATTGAATTCCGTGGTAAGACAGTCTTCTGATAAGTTTTAAATTCAACTGTGTATGTGTTTTCTGTCAGAGCAGAAAGAAATAAAATGAGGATTTAACCACTATTATTTTGTCAGAGATCTGAGGGTAAGGCTCATAAATGACAAAAGAAATAACATGTTTTTGATGATATATTTACATAAAAAGGAATATGTAAGATAAGCCTGAATACTACCGTGTATATATTTTTCCATCTTCCAGTATAGTAATGAGGCTAAAATAATGCTGATAGAGGAGTTTTGGACTCCCTTGAGATGAGTAAAAATTACTGTTTCTACTCTGTGTTCAAAAAATTTGTGTTCACATGTATGTATGTGTATAGTTGATATATGTCATGTGGCTATAATTACTACTATTATAGATTATTGATTAGTTCATCGTTTATTTTTTACATTAGGCGTTTGTATATTTATTGTTATCCTCCACTACATTAGCCCTTCATTTCCTTGTTGGCCAAGGTAACACTACCTCAAGTTTCTTCAATTTGAGCTGGGCGTGGTGGCACATGCCTGTAATCCCAGCACTTGGGAGGCTGAGGCAGGAGGATCGTGGCAAGTTCGAGACCAGCCTGAGCTACAAAATGAGTTTGAGGCCAGCCCGAACTGCATAGTAAGACCCTGTCTCAAAAAGACTAAATAAGTAAATAAAATAAAGTATCTTCAATTTGTAGGTCTCGTGGGCTGCCTAAGTTAAAAGAATCACGTTCCCATGAATCCTTGCTCAGCCCATGCAGTGCAGTCGAATGTCTGGATCTGGGTAGAGGGGAGCCTGTGTCAGTGAAACCACTCCATAGTAGCATCCTTGGACAAGACTTCTGCTTTGAGGTAAAAAATGTAGAAAGAAGAGAGTAGTTAACAACATTTTCTGTTTCAAGTGATTTCATACTGTTGCATTGCCAATTTTATTAAACTGGTTTTCACTTGCTGAAAATTATAGGGGAAACATTGAAAATCTAATTATATTTAAAATAGTTATAATACTTAATTTAAATGTAAATAGTTTGACTATCTTTGTAATCAAAGTTGTTAATATTAGCATCTGATTTACTTGACTTTGTCTGCTTTCTCCCCAAAACACTATGTTGTCAGCAAACTAGTCAGCTAGCAATGGCTTATTAATATATTAATTTTTCGGTATTGATAAATGATGTCTCCCACTTGGTAATGTGTTATTTTTCTACTGAATCTCTAAGTCTCCAATTTTAACATTATTTTGAGAAATAAACCCAAAAGATAACTTTCCTGACTACAGCAAGAGCAAAACATGTCTTCTTTATTTCTATAATGCCTGCACCTGTGCTGGCCCATAGTGCATTACAGGTGTCTAATTTCTTGAATGAACAAATTGTCCTTTACTATAAAATTATGGGTATCACTTTTTGTAAGGTCATTTCTCTCTCCCTAATTAAATGTACACATTAGGCTATTTAAAAATTACATTTGAAAGCCACTCCTGTGAGCAAATAGTGACTAGAAAAGAGTCCTGTGTTAGATGTTATAATCTGGTTCCAGAAATATGCAGTCCATACATGAAATTTTTAACCCAAATGTTTCAACATGTAATATAAAAATTATCAATGAGATATTTTACATTTTTAATAGTAGATATTCAAAGTAGCATTACAGCATATCTCATTTGGAGCTAGCCACATTTCAAGTACTCACTAGCCATGTGAGATTGGTAGCTTCCATTGGAAGACAAAGTATACAATCGGCTCTGGGTTATTGGATTTTTTTTTTTTTTTTTTTTTTTTTTTTTTGGTGAGACAGGGTTGCACTATGTCACACAGACTGGCCTTGAACTCACTTATGTAACCTAAACTGGCCTCGAACTCATAGTGATCTTTCTGCCTCAGCCTCCAAGTGTTAGGATTGCAGGCGTGCACCATCACACCCGGCAGGTTTATTGGATTATGACTGGAGCTGGATTTAATTCAGAGTAGACTTTGGCAATTTGGGAACATCATTCACTTATTGGTATTCTTTTTTAATAAAAATTACTTGAACTTTTACTTAGTCGTGGTATGCAATTCAGTAGACTACTAAGCCCAGGGTTAGGCAGTAGGCATCATGTTTCATTTTTAAAGGATAGTAATAATAGTGGTCAGGCTAACCTAGTAAATGATTGGTAATCAGCAGGGTAGTAGCCTAGTGGAGAGATAAATTCCAAAGACAGTAATTCAGTACTATTAATTCTTTTCAATTTCTTTTAGCAGCCTCTTATACTTACAGTATTAGAATGAAGACAGTTTTGAGCAATCTTTTAGGAACTCTGTTCTATTTTTGGTCATTTTTTATTAATGCAGAATTAAGTTTGCAGTTAATTTGAGATGTGGCCTGAAAGGTTTTTAATTTTTTCTGAGTCATAAACCAGCTGAATTCTGAATGGCCTTTATTCTCATACCTGGAAATGAAAATGAATGCTATATGGAGAAAAATATTAAAAAGCAGAGATAGATTTAGATATAGATACCACAAAACTCATTTTAGGTTCATTTAGTATGGCTTGGATTGATAACATATCCCTAATTCTTAAATGAAAGGATTAAGAAGATAAAGCCCCAAATCTTATATTTCCTTTCTTTATCTCTAATCTTTATGTTGAAGGTCACTTATTTAAGCGGAAGTAAGTGCTTCAGCTGTAACTCAGCTTCAGAGAGAGATAAGTGGATGGAAAACCTTCGAAGGACAGTTCAACCAAATAAGGTAATAGTAGCTTTGAATGTCTAAAAATGTATCATGTTACAAAAGGTAAGGTAATAGAAGGTAAATGTAATGATAATATCTTAATTTTTAAAGAACTTAAAAATTTCAAAATACATACATATCTTAGGATATTTTATACTAAAAATCTATGGATATTACTATGAATTTACCAGTGTGTATAAGAAGACTCAGAAAATTCACATGGCTTATATATATCAGAAGCTAGTACATGATAGAAAGGAACTAGAATACCAGTTTGTTACCTACCTGTCTCTTAAATTTGTAGAAAACTATTCCAGTTGCCCTTAAGCTGGCTGTAGAAAATTTACCCCAACTATTACAAGATGGTATTTCAACCCAAGTAAAATAGAATTTATATGGTTCTCTTAAGATTCTGATACATTCTTGTTTAGACCTGATATTATTCTAACCAACAAAATATCCAACCCTTTTCATTATGTGTTGACTTCCTTTAATATAGTACATAATCAGTGTCACTTTAAGTGGAAATGTTCTCTTTCTGGGATATTGGCTCTCAAGTTCAACTGTGTTGCTTATTTATAGGACAATTGCAGAAGAGCTGAAAATGTTCTCCGTTTATGGATCATTGAAGCCAAGGACCTTGCCCCTAAGAAGAAATATTTCTGTGAACTGTGCCTTGATGATACCCTCTTTGCTCGTACAACCAGCAAGACCAAAGCAGACAATATTTTCTGGGGGGAACATTTTGAATTCTATAGCCTCCCACCACTTCATAGCATTACAGTTCACATTTATAAGGATGTGGAAAAAAAGAAGAAAAAGGACAAAAATAATTATGTAGGGCTAGTCAACATCCCCACTGCCAGTGTCACTGGTCGCCAATTTGTGGAAAAGTGGTATCCAGTGAGTACACCTACACCCAACAAAGGGAAGACAGGAGGGCCTTCTATTAGGATTAAGTCACGTTTCCAAACTATCACCATTCTGCCTATGGAGCAATACAAAGAATTTGCAGAATTTGTCACCAGCAACTATACCATGTTATGTTCTGTCCTTGAGCCAGTAATTAGTGTGAGAAATAAAGAGGAGTTGGCTTGTGCCTTAGTGCACATTCTTCAAAGTACTGGCAGAGCCAAGGTAAGTAGAAGAAGAGGATTGTGTTACCTGAAAACTCTTCCTGTCTTTTATTTAAAAAAAAATAAGATATTGAATACTGTAGAGATCCATATTATAGAAATGTGTTTTACTTTTGGTCACAAAAAGAAGAAAGAGTTAAGAGGTAAGCCTATTAGCAGACCCAGAAGAGACAAGGATTATAAAACCAAGAAAGTAGCTGGGTGTAGTGGTGCACACTGGTAATCGCAGGCATTTGGAAGCTGAAGCAAGAGGATCCCTGAGAGTTCCAGACCAGCCTGTATTACATTGTGAGTTCAAGGCTGGCCTGAACTTGATGGTGAGACCTTGTCTTCAAAAAAAAAATCTGAAGTAAAATGGAGAAACCAATATTCATTGAAAGTCTACTTTCATAAAAGATGGATATCAAAACCATCTCCTTATTAGTGATAGCATACCTTTCAGACTTTTATTGATACAAACAGCCCACTGTTGCATGCGTGCTCTAGGTTCATTACCATTATTGTATGATCTTCCTTACTATATTTTAAGATTCACTGATGGCAAAGAAGGAGGTATTCAAGAAATATGGTGAGTATTAGCAAGATTCCTCATAGGGTTAAAATCTATATTTGGTTAAAAATATCAAAGGATGTTATACAGTTTGTAGCTTTTTCATGATAGTCTTATTTCATCCTGACTGAAATAAGAAACTCAGGGAGACAAGAAGAGAAATATGCTGATTGTAGAAAGAACAATCACTAGTTGATGGAATCCTTGACCTATGAGACATGTTCACTTAGATGAGTCTCCAGTATATTACAAGTCAACTGGTCATAGTAAAATTGAACTTCAGAGTTTTCATAGCTAGAATAATTTATTTAGAACCAAAAATATAAAGTGCTAATAAATTTATTGATATGAATCATAGTATATTACTGTATTAGCTATAAATTCTCTTATCCAACTGCCTTCCTATTGATTATAATTTGTGTGCTTGAATTTACTGAAAATAATCTTGAACTTTCTGTCATTAAAAAGCTTAAAAATTGGGGTAAGATATGATTGAAATTTTGAGTTTCATCTTTGAAATTTTGGAAGTGTATTCTTTCTGCTTTCAGTTTCTGCAGGTTCAGGATTCTGCAGGTCCATAAGATTTTATTGAAAGAATTTAATTAATTAACATACAATTTGCCTACAGTATACTATAGCCATTAAAAGTGAAGTTCTGAAAAAAAATTAAATAAATAAGTGAAGTTCTATGAGATTTGGCAGATTATACACCCATTGAAACCACCATCTAACTCAAGACACAAAATGTTGCTGTAACCCCCAAAAACTTCCTCTTGTCCATTATCCTAAGCTTTAATAATGATTCCTTGGCCCACAACTCTATTACACTATTGAACTTACAATGTAAGTCTTATTAGTGTATTAAATGCTTACGTGTAAAGTATGTAAAAGTAAATTCGCATATTACCTCTATTTTGGTTTTTGGAGTGCTTAAAATATCCAGTAAATATATAATATTCAAAATACATAATGCTATCATATTTCAAACCAAATGAAAATAAACATTGAATTTCTACAGCAAATTCTTTTTGTGACTGTTGAAGAATGAAGAGACTTTGTTCAGTGTTTAATTTTTCCTTATATGCCTTTATTCTCCGTGGATGGATGAGTAGGTGGATGTGTGGATAAATGAATGGACAGACAGACAGATGGTAGTCAGCCTTGAAAATGACTTCAACTGATAAGTTCAAGAAATTCAATTTTGATTCTGTAAGCCAATTTATAACTTATGTATTGAGTATTAAAATATGCCAGAAATTTTTGGATGACAGAGATATGTTGATAATCAAAAATTGATATTCCTTAGCCTCATGGGATTTGGGATTTTCTGAGGAAAACATGTGAATCAAAAGATTAGAGGAATAATTGTGTGATTGCAGTGAAGCATGTAAAGATAAAAAGATACTTGGTATTATGGGAGTATGGAGCAAGCAGACCTGACTTGTGTAGTTTATGAGCAGTGTTGGTCAGAAAAGACTTTGCTGAGGAAATGATGTGTGAGCTAAGAGCCAAATGATCTTAGGAATTCGTTCCCTGATGCTGCGAGTAGGAGTGAGGGTGGGAGTGGAGCAGAACTGAAAGCAGCATTTGCAAAGGGATCTGTGCTGGGGAGAGAACATCATATTTAGAAAGTGGTTGATGTGGGGAGGAAAAAGAAGGCTCCAAAGGCCGAAGCAGAATTCAGAAAGAATGGTATTAGATGAGGCTGATGAGCTAAACAGAAACCAGGAAATCTAGAGATTGGAGGCTACAATCGGAATTATGCCCTTTTTCAAAAGTGCAATGAGAAATCTTTGAAGAAATGTTAAACTTTGGAGTAGGGATGCATAGGATTTTTATCTTGACTTTTTTTCTTTCTTTCCAATTGAATCTGGTAGCTTAACTTCTAAAGCAGCAGATTTGATATTTCAGTACTTTTAATGTATATTATTTATTCAGCTGCTTTCTGCTTGACTGAACATTATTCTACCAGGATTTTCTGACCGACTTGGTGATGTCTGAAGTGGATCGATGTGGAGAGCATGATGTCTTGATCTTCAGAGAAAACACCATTGCCACAAAATCCATTGAGGAATACCTTAAGTTGGTGGGACAACAATATCTTCATGATGCACTAGGTATGAAAAAGGAAAATACCTGTTTTTTTTCCCCTTTCAGTTTTAACATTACTTCGTGCTCATGTGACAAACAAACTGAGCTCAAATTCTCCATGTTATTTAGTTCAGTTTACTAGTCTTTGGGTTAAAGTTTCAATTATAATAGCCTCTGTACTACTCATCAGTAGAGAAACAATAGTTTATTACAGTACGTATAGAAATAGAAAAGCCATCAGCATATACAGCTTCCCTAAGGGGAATATATAATAATAGCAACTACTAGATAAAACGTGACATGTTTCCCCCTAAACTGTTGAGTATTTTATCATAGTATATTTGCTGCAGTCTTAAACAGCTTAACCTAGCATTTGCTAACATGCATACACAACTAATCAAAAATAAACTCTTGCCATTTCCTACAACTCCTAATTTCTCCTTTCCAAGGTCACTGGAGCTTTTTTAACATAACTAATTTTAGTCGTATTATTAGTTCTTGGAGACTAGGCCCCTCATAGTTCCAGATTTGGTCTTTAATTCAGTCTTTAATAGAGAAGGCACTATAATGACCATTTTCATGGTAGAGCAATTTTGAGTTTCTTGAAGAAAATAACAATTTTTTTATCTCCTTTATCTGTATTTCACACAGAATATCATGTAGCACTATCCTATGTAAACATAATATGAGCCACATGTGAGTAATTTTCTGTTTATTTACTGTGTAATTTTAAATTTTCTTATAGTCATAATATAAAAAGGATAAGGAGAAACGAGGTGAAATCAATAGTGTAATGTTTTATTTTACCTATTAATATCCAAATATTAATTTACAGCTAGTCAATATAAGAATTGTTTAATATTTTACTTTTTTCATAGTCTGAAATGGAGTGTATATTTTGCATTTATCATACATTTTATTTTATCTTATGAGCAGAAATATTTATTGAGAGAAAGAAAGCTTCTGTCTGGGAGAGAGAGACAGAAGGGGTCCTGAGTGGGTTGCCCCACACATTTTATTTTGAGCTAACTGAATTTCTAGTGCTTATCAATCATATGTGATTAGCAAGTAGATCATAAAGGTATGTTGAATGACTGCAGAGGTCTTTTTGTTCACAAGGAGTTTACAGTGTAAGGAAGTAGGAGAGGATTATCACTCTAACCAAAAAAGAGATAAAGCCTGTGTTTTCTCAGAGAATCTTTAAAAATTAATTTCAGCTTGATAGACTTACATAATTTCCTGTCAAAGTAGGCCTGTGTTGTATGTATAGCTTGAAGGGTAAAAAAGTGATAATAAAACAGACACTGAGTAGGGGCAATGCTAGGGACTAGGGCGTAACACTTAAACAAAAAGCATAAACACCAGGCATATATGGAACAAAACCTTTTAGTAAAAAAAAGCTACAAAAGTAATAAATAAACAATAAAGTTGAGGAAACAATTGGAACTTTTTTTTTGGGGGGGGGGGTATGGGGATCAAACTCATGACCCTGCACTTGCCAGGCAGGCTCTTACTCCACTGAGCTAAATCCCTGGCCCTCGAAACAGTTTTTTAAGAGCCTGTCTAGGGATTAGATTTTGCAATAATCATTGAAAAACCACTGAAGTTTTGAGTAGAGTGTGTTAAATGAAATTAATGTAAAAACCATTGTAATAAAGAGGGCAAGAAATAATGAGACTCTGAATGAGGCAAACCCTGCAAATAAAAATAAAGAAAAAGATGAACATAAGAAATATTCCAGATGAACAGATATGACTTGGCAGCTTTTTCAGTTAATGGCAAAGTAGGAGGGACCAAAAACTACAGAGAATTTTGAGTCTTTGTGAGTAACTAGGAGGAGAATGAGATTGTTTTTTTGTTTGTTTGTTTTGTCTTTTTCCTTTTTATCGGTATCAGGAATCGGACCCACGACTGCCTGCTTGCAAGGCAGGCGCTTATGCCACTGAGCTAAATTCCCAGCCCCGAGAATGAGATTCTCAAACAGAAACAGAACCATAGAAATAGTAGGTTTTTTAAAAAGGAAATGACACTTCTACCTCACATATATTCAATTTGAAATTCTGGTAGGAAATTTCAGGGGCTAGGGGTAGAAAGCTAACCAAGACATTTGTCTAGTTGGCTTTTAGATAATTGTGACTAACATAACCCAAGTGAGGGTGTTATGAACTATGGGATTACCAAAGCAAGAAAAGAATAGAGCCAAAGACATCTTAAAGTGTCCCTGGGTTTATGGTGGAGAAGAAAACAAAGAAATCATAAAGAATGCAAAAATGAAAGAAAACCAGGAATTCTAGTTATCTGAATCCTAGACATCAATAGAAAAGAGAATAACAAAAGGCAGAGGGATTGAAGGTATAGTTCAGTGGTAGAACATATGTTTAGCATGTATGAGGCCCTGGATTTGATCCCTAAAACCAAGAGAGAAGAAAGTGGAAATGGGTGACAGGAGGTCAAGAAAAAGTAACTATCACATCTAACAATTTGAAGATCATTTGCAGTGCTTTAGAGTAGCATCAGGAGGAACAGAATCATGATGTAAGGGAGTACAAAGTAAATGACTGGCCAGTAGGACTACTATGTTCACATAAAGTAGTCTCATTATAGTGAGCTTATTAGTCTCATTTCCATAAAGAGCCTATTACAGTCATAAGTTGTATGTCATGGTTTGCATTAATATGATTTATATTATAAAAGGCAACAAAGAAGCATCTCGGGTTCTTCATTGTGTGGATACAGAGGTGAATATCTGTTGGCTGCCTACATCTTTAAAATCAAATACATTCTAAAAATAAGTGCTAAACAGGATTTCTGAATGAGATTTTCAAAATGAAAGTAGATACAAGTCCTTCGATATGACAGTGAATTAAATAACCAATAGGCCCAATGAGGTATGAAAACTAATTGAGTGAACATTGGAAGAAATTAAAGTAACCCCTCAGAGAACTCTGTTAACGTATCTGTAATGTAAGAATAGGGCCAGAGTAGTGTGTCTTTTTCCTGTTAAAGTTTTACCACACTTCCTGGGCCTTGGGCAGAAAATAGATGCTGTTTCTAGACTGCTCCAAAAGATTGATTTTAAAAGTTAGTAGTCATATTGTGTGTGATATCATCCCACTTCTTAGCCTATCTTCATTTATCTTGAAAAAAAATTATTTTTTACTACCTAGAGTCTGTTTATTTAGACTTAGATCTTCCATCTTTTAGCTTCTTTACCTATCTAATTGAAGTCAGATTTCATGTTGATGTCTATGACACACAAGGAAATACCATCTGTGAGATACAGGAAAGAAGTTTCCACAGGCCTGATTTCCATTCTTAGTGATGGGGTAAATTTCTTCAGTGATGCTATGTCCACTGACTTATTCCTACACATGAAATTTTGATGCTAGAGAATAATGTATTAATGACATACATGAAACATCATAAAAGATTCTGGGCTTAATCTTGTATTTAAACAACATAATAAGGACCCTCTTGGTGCTGCTTATTTTCAGAGGCAGAGAAGCAAACTCAAATGGGTTTTAATATGTCTCAATAATGTGAATCGAGTACATACCTTTCAGGTCCAAATCTATGCAAGCTTTACCTTGCAATGCGATGCATTCCACATTACCAGACGTAGATTATAACTTCAAAAGTGAAAATAATTTTCTGAGTTGTAGAGGGTTTTAGTTGTCTTATAAACAGAAAAAGCTTTACACAGTATGGTGTTGGTACTATAGAAAATTTATTTCTAAGCCTAGGAGTTAATTATTTTACTAAACTCTGGAGGTATTTATTATTAATAGTGCCCCTTAATGTTAGTATTATTTCCCTAGAATAGACATTACTTTAAGGAACTCACAAAGCAGAACATTTATGAAACAAATTTAGACTTTGGTCAATTATAACATGGGATATTTGGCAGTGATTGCTCAGTTTCAGTTGAGATAGAATATATAGATTGTGCATATAGCATGAGACATAGAGAGTATATTGAATATTTACATTTTGAAAATTGTTGGGCTGGGGATTTAGCTCAGTGGCATAAGCTCCTGCTTTGCAACTGTGTGGTCGTGAGTTCGATCCCCGGTACTGATAAAAAAGAAAAAGACAAAAAAAAAAAAAAAGAAAATTGTTAACATTTTGTTATGGTTGATATATTGAGTCAACTTGAGAAGTTTAGAAGTTTAACTGAGAGAGACAGCAGGGCACCAGGATCCTTACTTTCTAAATATCCCCTGTACAAGAGGAAAGCACAGGGATTTTGTGATTGCTGCGCTTACCTTGAGTGGGGGTAGCCTGTATGCAGTAAAAGGGAGGAAAACAGGATTGCTCTTCCTCCCTTTTGCTCTGCCTGCTGCCCTGAAATGTTACTCCAGTGCCATGTCACCCCGCCTTAGAGCCAGCTGATTATGAACTGAAACCACCAAAAACTAAAGCTAAATAAACCTTCTCTAAATAAACCTTTTCTTTTCTAATTTTGAATGTAAGGTATTTTGTCCCAGCAGTGAGAGAAAAGTAACAAGACACATTTGTAAGCTTTTTCTAGTTTTGGCTATTTCATGTTTTGAAAAATTTTTGAAAAATGTTTGAAAAAATTTTTGAAAAAGTTTGAAAAAATTGTTGAAAAAGTTTTGAGAAATGCTATTTTAAAATAGCATAATTTTATTCTTAATATTTTCTTATGGAGCTCTTACTAAGTGCAAAGAACCATATGAAAAGCTTTTTGTGCACAATTCTACAAGATAAGCTATAGTAACACTTTTACAAATAAGGCAAATGAAGCTTAAACTAGTTAAGTGTCTTTTCAAGGCCCCCAAATCAGTTAAGTGATTGGATCTAGGATTTCATCGCTCCCTGGCTCCAAAGCCTTTACTTTTTCTGTCCTCCACCTTCTTTTCTGTGTATGTCATTACTTTTTGTTCTCCACGTATTTTTCTTCCAAGTTATCACTTGTCATCTTCTGTCATGACTACTTTTAAAAACTTTCATTTGCCTCAATACTATTTTGATAGAAAATGTTTCATATTTCTACTGCCACTTAATTTTGTAAAAAGGATTTCTCACATTCATAACTCGTTATAACTATCCTGGACCTTTAGTAACATCAGTAGATTTAGAAGGATTTTTGACAGATCCACTCCTTGTTAATAAAGACCTGTTTAAAAAAAAACCTACATACTGTCATCTCTAATCAATATTTATTGCTGTGAGGGCTATTTAAGGGGGTAGGAATTTAAACATGATTAAAACCTGATTTCTTACCACCAAAGATCCTAGAAATGAGACAGACATGTAAAAAATAAGTACAAAATAATATAAAACATGGAGCATTAGAAGATACAAACTATAAATGTATAGTGGAAAATAAACAGGTACGGTAGAGATTTGTTTTTTTCAGGGAATATTGGATATATCCTTAAACACTTTCCAATCCAATTATTTAAACATAGAATGACCAAAAATTGTGTATTTTTCATTAATTTTTATAAGATAATATAACAGGAAATATAAAAATGACAATTTTATCAAATTTGTTCAATACAAAAATTGACCTGGGGAAATGACACCTGCCCAAACAGTGCCCGGATGGTCAATACATAAATAAACATGCTGCCCAAGTGATACTCAGAATTAACTAGTAAATGGTTAAAGGTATAGGCTATATGAACAGGATTTTTAAGCTGAATTTCTGTGGAAAAGAATTTAAGAAGCATATAAGGAGATGTGCTATAATTTTAAATTAGATTAAGTTACTATCTCCAAGAAGTAAGCCAGCAGAGCTGTACTTGTACCTATTTGGCATCAACATTAGATCCTAACACCTTGTTTAGGAGCTATTCAGACAAGTTTGGGTTGTTTGATTACTAGAATAATGGTAATAGTATTCCTAGTAGAGAGAGCTTTTTAACAAATTACAAATTCATGCTAATTAAACATTTATAATTTCTGATAAAAGATACTACATTGTTTGAAGTCATTGTTACTAGTTCTATAAATACTGCAATGATGATTTTAGTGGTTACTGTTATTCGCAAAAAAAAAGGAAAATATGAATATTGTAGGGTATGATAATTAATGGTTCCAAACCAGTGAACCAACTTTGTGGGCAGTCTTTTGTCTCCTCTATATCAAATCTGAGAAAAGACTTCCCATTATATGTTTTAGGACACAAATCCAAAATCCTTTTAATTCTACTCAGGAAGACACTTTATAAACACATGTCATCTTACCTCTTTACATAGGGGAGTTCATCAAAGCTTTGTATGAATCAGATGAGAACTGTGAAGTAGATCCCAGCAAATGTTCATCTAGTGAACTGATAGACCATCAGAGCAACCTCAAAATGTGCTGTGAGCTGGCTTTCTGCAAGATCATCAACTCTTACTGGTAAACTGGTGTCCACACTGAGTCCTTGAGTACAAAATTAATGTTTTTCCTTATAAACATCAGCTGAGTGCCCCCAAAGGAAGGATTTAGGGGGAAGAATTGAAAGTTTCCCTAATATAGTCCTGTCTGAAATCTGAATCTCCATCCTGAGCAAAAGTACTTCTAAACTGACTATTTAAAAAATCTTTCCCATAGTGTTTACTGCATCCTCTATTACCCAAAAGTATTTTTTTAGCTTTCTGAAATATTTACTAATGTTAAACAAATGGGTTCATGAATTTGGTCATTGCTCTGTCCCTTAACAATTGATGAGATTTTGGAAGATTTTTGATGAACAATTTTTAGAAAGATTATGGTGAGCTATATTAAACCAAGATGGTTTAGTCAGGAGCCTAATGCCATTTTCCCACTTTGCAGAACTAAATTTATACTAATCTAGAATTTTATAGCCTTCAGTTTCCAGTCTCCGTCTGGCCTTCTGTGAATTTTGTACCAACCCTCAGACATGAATTAGGCAAAATGTCCTCCCTAGGTATCTGCTAGTTCCTCATAGCTTGGCTCTAGAGCAGAGTTTTGCTGAATCAGACTGGGATCAGTTGTGCTTTTGTGTGTTACAGTGCTTTTTTATTTAGAGGTTTTAGAATCTTTTTTCCTTCCCCAGTGTTTTCCCTCGTGAGTTGAAAGAAGTGTTTGCATCATGGAAGCAGCAGTGCCTGAACCGAGGCAAACAAGACATCAGTGAGCGGCTCATTAGTGCCTCATTGTTTCTCCGTTTTCTCTGCCCAGCCATTATGTCTCCCAGTCTTTTCAACCTTATGCAGGAGTATCCTGATGACCGTACGTCTCGGACTCTAACTCTGATTGCCAAGGTCATTCAGAACCTAGCCAACTTTGCCAAGTAGGTGACGTTACCATTATTGCTTTAAAACACATGTTTTAAAAAATATGTGAGGCCTCATTCATAATAGGCCTCATTCAAAATCTTGGAAGCAGCCCATATGTCCATCAATAGATGAATGGATAAAGAAAACGTGGTATTCACACACCATAGAGTACTGCTCTGCTATAACAAAAGATGAACTTGAGTCATTTGTAGGAAAATGGATCTTGAGACCATAATATTAAGTGAAGAAATCAGACATACAAGCTTAAATATCACATTGTTTCTCTTATATGAAAAGCCCAGAGTAAAAATAAAATAGCAAAACAAAATATAGATAATAGAGAGTTACAGAAACCAATCAATCTCAAAGGAGAGAAAGAACAAGAGATGGAAGGGGAAGGAGGGTAGGAAGGGATAAGAAATTGGGATGTGTTATATACATATGTCAGCTCCATTCAAGGAAATGTAAACATTATGTGCAAAAAACAAAAAGAAAGGGAATCAAGAGATGGGGGAAGGAGAGTAGGGAAAGTAGGCATTACAGTCCCACAAGAAATGTCAAAATTATGTACTACACAAATATACACTGAAAAGTGGGGGCTCTTTGGGGCATCATTCATGATACTGTATTTTTATTGTGTTGGCAATAAAAGTAGCAAAATAAAATATAAATAATCTGAATATTAGCCAACAGTTTTTTATGAAAAACATCCAATAACATGGGAAAGGAAGTACTAATTTGAAAAAGGACAGGATATGACAGGGTAAATGATATTATTCTAACTGTATAAAAACATAAAAATAGTATAAAAGGATTAGGAAAAACTGTCCGACAAATTGTATTAGTTATACGGTCTAAGACAACTAGCCTAGCCACTTCAATGTTAAGAAAAGACAATGTTAAGAAAAATGCACAATATAGAAGATTACTGTAGTAGATCTAAAGACACTGAACACAATACTTGAAAAATATTTGACTCTTAAAAACTGGGGAGGAAAAAAAATCTCAAAATGTTATTTGGGGGGAAAAAAGTTATTTGGGAGAAAATTAGTGGAATTTAAATATGGACTACATGTAAAATGATTCATGGATAATGTTTTCAAAAGTTTTATTGCAAAGATGGCATTAGTTTATAAAAGAGATACTCCTTATTCTGAAAAAATGTGTGCTGAAGTATTTAGAGTTGATGTCTGTAACTTAGTTTAAAATGGTTCAGAGAAAAAAACTACATGTGTATATATAGAGAATGAAAGTGAACTTGGCAAAATATTAGCATTTGGTTAATGTAAATTAAAGGTATATGGTTATTTATTGGGTATTCATTCCATTTCTCTGTAGACTTAAATTTTTTTAAAGGAAGCTGGGTGAAAGAACATGTTTATAGCGAATATGTCTGGTAATTGAGTGGATGTACCCATACTTTTTTCTTTCCTCTTTTCGTTGTTTCTAACCTTTTCTTTATGAATTCATATTTTTTATAATTTATAGAAAATAATTTTAAGAAATGGCTGGGGAAGAATTCACACTTACAAAATTGATCACAAGTACTTAAAAACAAGTATATGGTTTTTTTTTCTTTTTCCTCCTGGTGATACTGGGAATCAAATTCAAGGCCTTTCATACAGTAGAAAGCATTCTCCCACCGAGCTGCATCTGTTTAAAAAGCAAGTTTCTGTTTTCAAAGTATGAAAGAAAAACTTAGAACTTCAATATAAAGATTGTTTTCTAGTACTTAGGATCGGATTTTTAGAAGTAAACTATTATTATTATTATTATGCATCCGGATCACCCCAAGTTTGAGGCCAGCCTATATAGTGAGACCTTGTCTCAAAAAAAAATTCAAAGAAAGATGTTTTGATATGTATTAAAGTGATGTTAAAAAAGTATGTTTTAGAAGCCAGATGTGATGATGCGTGCCTATAATCCCAAGCACTCTAACAGGCTGAGGCAGGAGGCTTCAGTTATTCTTAATATTACTTTAATACATACCAGAACCTTAAATAGGTTCAAACCCAGCCTGGGAAACTTGGTGACCTAGTAAGACCACCTCAAAAAAATTTAAAAGTACTAGAGGAATAAGTCAATGCAAAGGCCCTGGGTTCAGTCCCAAGTGCCACACAAAATGAAGGAAGAAGAAGGAAGGAAGAGAGGGAAGGAAGGAAGGAAGCAAAAGAGGAAAATAGAAAGTACATTGTAGGGTTGGTGGTGTACACAGTGATAAAATACTCACCTAGTATGCAGAAGGCCCTGTGTTCAGTCCCTAACACCTTAAAAACAACGTTCTCTTACCAGTTACAAAGAAACAAGATTAATTGTTATCTCCACAAAATAAAAGAATTGTATACCTCTGTGTAAAGTCAACTCGAAATGATCATATCTCTTTTCTTGAATATGTTCTTTCTCATTTTCTCACCTTCTACTTCAGGTTTGGTAACAAAGAGGAATACATGGCATTCATGAATGATTTTTTAGAACATGAATGGGGTGGAATGAAGCGCTTTCTTTTGGAGATCTCTAATCCAGACACCATCTCAAACACCCCAGGCTTTGATGGTTACATTGATCTGGGCCGAGAGCTTTCAGTTTTGCATTCCCTACTGTGGGAAGTAGTTTCCCAACTTGATAAGGTAAAGTAGGCTGAAAGAGTAATGGGAAATGGGAGATAGAGAACGTTAGTGTACCTGAGTTTTAGAGCGTATCTATGGGTGAAATCACTCGCCCTGTTTACTAGTTAAAAGTAACCCTTAACAAAATATGTGCTCCACTGCTGTGAAATTCTAGAAAACCATGAAATTATCAGTACATTCTTTAATAATTGCCTGAATAAGTGAAGTATATTCATATACACACACAATGCATATTGAAAACTTGCCTAGAAACTAATATAAAATATTGGTGTATATTTCCTCATTCATATGCAATAGAATAAGATGAAACTTTATCTAGTAACTGCTAACAAAGCTAGAAACTTGGAAAATACAGTTTATCGTGTGTAAGTAATTTTACTCATGAAATTTTTGTATTGTTGTTTTACTGTGGAGGTCAGGTGGTTTATAATTATTAATGCTGAGATCACACATGGAATCTGAAAATACTGATACTGGCTTTTCTACAGGTGTGACACACAAATCAGTATTTCAGTCATCTGTTTTCTGACAATAAACTAAATTTTATTGTATATCATATTAATGAGTAAATTGTAAAGTATGCCAATCACTTTTTTCCTTCTGGAATTTTACAGCAAGGCATAGATTTTAATAATAAAAAATAGTTTAGTGGTGTTAGATTGACTTCTAAAACCATTATTTTTGTGATGAGGCCTTGTTTTCTTCAATTTTCCTAGTATGTATAAAAACGTGTTAACAAAAATTGCAGAATAAAACCTATGAAAAAGACTACTGTCCTGGGGAAGCATAAAAGATAGTGTGTCCACTGGTGGTTAAAATATTTGTAAAACAATCATTCCTTAATCTCCAAAACCTAATTTGCACTTTTAGAAATGTAAGCTAGGGGGCTGGAGATTTAGCTCAGCGGCATAAGCACCTGCCTTGCAAGCAGGCAGTCATGAGTTCGATCCTTGGTACTGATAAAAATGAAAAAGACAAAAAAAAAAAAAAAAAAAAAAAAAAAAAGAAAGAAATGTAAGCTAGATCTTAAGTTGAAGGTATGTTGAGGATAACTTTCTTTAATATGAAGCATGGTTCAGCATTGTTGAGCAAGTAAAGACATTCTTTAGATAACATTGTATCCATTTGAGCAGAGTATAAGTCTTTTGATTGCTGAGAAGACAAAAGGGACTCAAAATCAGCCATGTAAAACTTACTTATTAAGAGTCCCATAAAACCCTGTTAGAATAAAAATCCACTAAAGAAAAAAAAATGATTGAGATGGATAATTCCTATACTGAAAAGTTATTCTTGGCCAAGCATAGTGTCACTTGACTGTAATCCCAGCACTCAGAAGACCAAGGCAATAGAGTTGCCCTGAGTTTGAGGTCAGCCAGGACTATATGGTGAGTTCAAGTCCAGCCTGAACTGCATAGTGAGACCCTAAAAACAACAACAAAAATGTTACTTTTTAAAAATAACTTCTTCAATGGTGTGCACATACTATTTTGTGAAATAGGCCTGCTTCATTCAAGGTCCAGGTCTTTTTAACAGGCTTTGCTGTGTGTACACACTTCCTCCTTTTTAACCTAATCCTGGGAATTTATCTGATTTTGCTATTTCTTTTTTTAAAAAAATTACCTTACTAATGGAAATTAAGATGGCAACGGATCAGGGATCCCAAGATTGATTAGGATAGTGGATGGCAATATCAACTAACTGTGTGCCCTGCCGTGTTGTGGATCCCTGAATGCAGCACCTTTCTGTATGTTGGCATGCATTTCTTTTCTCACATGGTCCTTTTTCTTTGTAAGTTTCATCACACCAGCCAATGCTCTAGTCTTAAAGTTCCTTTTGGTTAAAAGGTGTTTGGTTCCTCCCCTTCTCTATTTTGGTCTATTAGCCACCTGAAGATTTAGTTTGCTTTGCATGCGTATTTTAGTTGGAATGGCAGTAGTTTGGTTATTTTAAGCATGTCTTAATTTTTATTTGCATAATCCTAATTTCTATTTCCCTTCTTTCCTCAATGTCTGCTGCACCCTGTTTCGCCTCCTCCATTCATCTCGACGCCATGGTTCTGCTGCTCCATAACAATGCATTATGAACTTGCCACTCCCATACGCAAATACCTACCCTTCCCTCCAACCTACACCCCTCCATCAATGGGCCTCGTTTTCCCAAAAACAATCTATGGTGGATGTCACAATACTCCTTATCCAATTAGGGTGACAATTCCTTCCTACAGGCAACCGTGGCAAAACTGGGGCCTCTCCCCCGTGTTCTTGCTGATATTACCAAGTCTCTGACTAATCCTACGCCAATACAACAGCAACTGAGACGCTTCACTGAGCATAACTCCAGTCCAAATGTCAGTGGAAGCCTCTCTTCTGGGCTGCAGAAAATATTTGAAGACCCCACTGACAGGTATGAAAGAGAAATTTTTAACTATTGTCTCAAAGAGTGAGAATATATTTAGCAGAAATCTTTTAATCTTATTTATTAAATTTGCATCTGTAAAGTTATGAGCAATTGAAAAGAATCATCTGAGATAAATTCAGTTATTTGTCATAATGCACAAAATCTAGGATAACTTATTTTCTAAAATGACAGGATAAAGTTATACTCAGTAAATATATATAAAATTCTTGGTCCTGCTTAATGTAAGAGTTTTGTGAAATTGATGTTAGATAGTATAGTGTCAAAAACTTTGGATATCCTTAGTTAAAAACCATTTTACAGCTGTCTATGTCAGCTAAATTTAAACTTAATTTTCTAGATTAGCAAGATTTATGTTGTGCCTTTAACAGGGACCCTTTGGTTATCTACTCAGAGCTTCTCCTCTTGAAGGTTATAACAGAATTAATTAAGTATGAATTCTAGTACTTTGGTAGGTATACTAATCTTTTTAAATAGGAAATTATTGGAATTTTAGTAAAAATTGAAGACAGTAATGGAATAGTATACACAGTTTTATTCTCTACCTCTGAGAGAAAACCCAAAATGTTGGCTTTTATTACAAGAATTATAATGTTGAAACCTGAGTTTCTAAAGAAATGTAAGTATCCACATTGGATACTTCAGCAGGGCTCATATACCCAAACTGAAGAACGTTAACTATGTGGAATTTTCCCCAAGAGTAATTCAGGGTCCTTTCTTTTTCCACAGTGACTTGCATAAACTAAAATCTCCAAGCCAGGACAACACAGACAGTTACTTTAGAGGGAAGACACTATTACTGGTTCAGCAGGCCTCCTCCCAGAGCATGACTTACTCTGAAAAGGATGAAAAGGAAAATAGCCTTCCTAATGGTCGGAGCATCTCCCTCATGGATCTCCAGGATACTCATGCTGCTCAGGTGGAGCATCCATCTGTCATGCTTGATGTGCCTATGCGCCTGACAGGAAGCCAGCTTTCTATAACCCAGGTGGCCAGCATCAAACAACTGCGGGAAACCCAGAGCACTCCCCAGAGTGCACCTCAAGTAAGAAGGCCCCTGCATCCAGCCTTGAACCAGCCCGGAAGTCTCCAGCCCTTGTCATTCCAGAATCCTGTCTATCACCTCAATAATCCTATCCCAGCAATGCCAAAGGCCTCTGTGGATTCCAGTTTGGAGAACCTAAGCACTGCCAGTTCTAGAAGCCAAAGCAACAGTGAAGACTTCAAACTCAGTGGACCCAGCAATAGCAGCATGGAAGACTTCACCAAACGTAGCACTCAGAGTGAAGATTTCTCCCAGCGGCACAATATGCCAGACAGACACATACCTCTTGCTCTGCCACGACAAAACAGCACTGGGCAAACCCAAATCCGAAAAATGGACCAGGCAGGGTTAGGTGCCAGAGCCAAAGCTCCCCCATCCTTGCCCCATAGTGCTTCCTTACGTAGCACTGGGAGCATGTCAGTGACATCTGCAGCCTTGGTGGCTGAACCTGTGCAGAATGGAAGCCGGTCCCGGCAGCAGTCCTCTTCCTCCAGAGAAAGCCCAGTTCCCAAAGTGAGAGCAATTCAGAGACAGCAGACACAGCAGGTAAGGAAGAGTACTAGAGGGGTTTGCTGCTACCAACTGTAGTACTTCCTTGGTTCTTTATATGTAAATCATTGGGAAATCCAATTTCCAATAAAGGTTCCACTTAGTATTTTTTCACCACCTTTAAATGGAAAGAGGAAATGAAGTTTGGAAGGTTTCTGGCTAGGTGAGACAGAAGAACGTAGTTTGACTCATTACCCTGAGGAGACTCTAACAAACACTCAGGGGGCCTCTTCTCTATAAGCAGCAGAGTTGCTAAGTTTGCACTTAGAACAGATCTGTGATGTCGAATGAGTAATTACACTCTTAAACTAGGAAACCAATAGGCAAAATCAACTGTGTTTTGGGAATCTAGACATTAATCTTTGGTCTTTTTTATTAAAAGTTGGTGTATTTTAAACTGTGACTTTAAAGTAACTGCTCCCCACTTCATCCCCAACTCCCTACGGTAATACCAACTCCCATATGCCTTTTCCTGGAAATGGCCACAAAAATAAACAACTGAACACCTACAGAGGCAAAATAAAGGAGAAGGTAAAAAGATAGAAACACGGGTGGCTGACAAGTATTCTAAACCCTTGTGCATCCTTATATTACTATTTACATGAATAAGCCCAGCTAGTGTCACACCAATCTTATTATAATTTCCAAACTAGCTTCTTGTTTGCCAAGAATTTAATCATTCCTTTCTTATGCTATTACATTTTGAGGCACCAGTACGTATTTTGCATTTAAAGTGAGCTAGTAACCTTGGGGGTTTGCATTTTTACTGGCTGGGAATTGATTTGGCAGCTTCTGCCTTCACTCTGCTGTGATCAGAGCACTTTGCCATGCACTAATAGTTGTTTAAAGAAAAAGAAAGAAAGAAAGCACTTACAGAACCTTTGGATACAAAGTTGGGGGCAGGGCAGTGAGAGGCATGACCAACTCAACCTGATGGGGAACAAATGTCCTAGTCATTCTTCCTTGAGAAATAGTTTTTCTTTTATCTTTTTTTTTCTTTTTACGGGTACCTGCTTGCAAGGCAGGTGCTTATGCTGCTGAGCTAAATCCCCAGCCCCTTTTCTTTTATCTTAAAGTTATCCTTTTTTTATTATATTACCCAACGTTTCACCAATTTATTTGATGTAGTATGCATTTTCATTTAAGGAAAAGGAAAAAAAAAAAAAACCTGTCCCTGTGTATCTCTTATATATCCTTTTATATATATAAGAATATACATACATAAATTTTGTGTTAGAATGCTTTCAGTCACTGACTCTGTAATGTGATTGTTGATATCAACAACTTTTAGAGAATTAAGTATTTATTAGCAGGATACTAAAAAGCTAACTAATCTTAAAGACGGAATACTGTGTGAAAACAGACATCTTCTTGGGGGTCTTAGAGCAGCAGGAAAGCACTAAGAATGAAACAGAATAGGTAAGAACATCAGGCTGCAAGGCGTGGTGGCTCATGCCTGTAATCCCAGCACTCGGGAGACTGAGGGAGGAGGATCATTGCAAGTTTGAGACCAGCCTGGGCTACAAAGTGAGTTCAAGGCCAGCCTGAACTGCATAGCGAAACCCTGTCTCAAAAAGACAAAAAAAAAAAAAAGTATATGAGGCTGACCCAAAAGGGCAGGACAAGGGAAAGGGCCTACCTGCTTTTCAAAAGTTGTCTTAAGGTCTAGCCTTAGAAAGAAAAGAAAAGAAAAATTAGAATTTTGTTCTTTTATTTCTGCCTTTTCTATTGCTTTTGTATCATGTCATCCGCAATTCCCAGGGCCAATGACTCAGGCAAATATTTATAATATTATAAATTAAATAGCTTTTGGGGTACTCATCTGGAACCAACTATTCTTTGTAACATTTTTCCTACAGAAACACAGAATATGTTTCTATGAACAAATATAAGGCTGAACTGGATAAGAGATGAAAAACATATACCATCTCCAAATAGCAACTTAAAAATTAAGTTTTATACCACAGCCACTGATGAGTTAGAAAATATCTTTAGCATGTGAAATATAGCATAGTGAGATGTCCTAGCAGAGGTTTGAATATTGCCTTTTGTGCCTTTACTTATAGCTGCCATTGCAGATATCACTGCATTTTGATGTCTCACATTCCTCGTTTTTCTGCGTAGTCTGTTGTACCCAGATGGCACATTCTTTAAAGTACTCTTGTATTCTTTATCTCCATCTCTTGCTTATCTTTCTCATTCTCCCATGCGCCTCTGAAGTTCTACACAATCAGCACATTTTTAAGGCAAATTCCTTTACACATTTTAATTGCAAATTGTGTTGGGAAATTCTTTTCTCTACAAAACTAGAGGATTTCTTTATGGGGATTGTTCTGTAGGCGTTTGTAATTGTCAGTGGCTTTGTCCCCGCAAATTCCATTTGTATCTTAGCACAAAGGAGCAGACATTGTTGCCAGTGTCATTGGCTTCAGTCTTACCCAAATATAGTGAGTAGGCAGGAAGTGAAATTCTAGTGAAATAATGTACATTTAATTTTTTCAGGAAAGTCTTTTAATATTTTAGCCCCTTTGAGCTGCTATTTGAATTTCTTTTTTTCTCATTTACTTCTCTACTTATGATGTATCATATAGTCTTGTACAAATAATATCTACTATATTCCCTATGCTTAGGAATTGTAATTTAAAGAAGCTTTTTAAAAAAGTGTTTGGTATATTTAACAAAAACGAGAAGATATGTATTTGTTGTTAACGTGGTACAGAAAAAAAAAGTAGGTGTTTGACAAGCACACTGTTATTGTACTGCAGTTTTCACATTTGGATTTGTTGAACTGTGTTCTAACCACACTCCTCAAGAACTCATTAATTTAATCAGCCCTTTGGCATTGGTAGCATAAGTGTTACTCATTTATAAGGACCTATTTCAGATTATAAAGAAGCGAAACCACGTCTTGTTTATATCTAATAGATACTGGAGGGAACAAGGAACTGGCCTCAGTTGTCTGTGACTGATTGGTGTATCAGTTAAACTACACTATGTCAGGCCCTTTAACCTAAATCATCATTATTTTTCCTAGAGAATTCCTACATTGGATTCATCTCAAAAGGGAGCTCTTTCCAAGGGGGAATTTCTGCTACTTTTCTTCTTGTCTTTTTCCTCCTTCATTTTCTTTAATCATTCTTTTGAAAGTCAGTAGTATAAATTCTCTTCTTAAGGATATATCTGAGAAAAATGGTTTTGAACCAGTTACCAGCCTCTTCCTCCAATTTCTTTGGCTGTAAACTAAAGAATGATTTTTGTTATATATATCCATCTTATAAAAGAGGTGTACTTCCAAAGGACGAGGCGAGGAAACAGAGTATCTTCTTTTAATATTGAACTGTAATGAATTATAGAACCTAAGGTATTAATAAGTAATTTTTATTGAGAATCTTATGCATTTAGAAACTGTATGATGTGGTGCCGTTAGATTGACATTCTAGTTAGTAAATAAGATCAGCACACATAAGACCAGAGGAAAAATATAAAAGACAGTGTATATTTTTTAATACTGTATAAAGTATATAACAATAATTTTAAAATGAATATCACTTCTGTTTTATTTCAGTCTGAAATAGTAGCTATTTTCAATTTTCAGTATTACTTTCCGGTTCCTTTATAGATATTGTAAAAGCTTCATCATGAATAGAAGGGAATAATTAAGATATGTCTAATTTTTTTTATCAATTTTATTTTGACTACTTACTGTTTGCCAAGCAAAGTTGTAGGACATATTAGCAAGTTGCTGAAATAATATTCAACCAATAAACTAGGAATAGGTCCTAAATACCTAGTTCCCATTGTATGATCTCTCATAATTCACCTTCTCGTTTTACAAAACCTCAATTACCTCCAAAATGTTTTTGTTGTTGTTGTTTTTAATATGCTTTCAAGGGCTAAAATTTTATTTCATTTGTATATTTTTAGGGTTATCATTAGTTTGCAGAATATTTGTAGACACTCAATAAAGTTATCTATAACAAGTCATGGGGAAAGAAAGTTCATTCAAGCAACAACTTATTAACCATATAAAGCAGAAAGCTATTGAATTAGCTGTCTCAAAGTAACAAATCCCTGATAGTAAAGTTGTTATTAGTTTTAATAGTAGTTTTATCTCAAACTGCTATTGAATAGAAAATTCTGGTTTCATGGTAAAACAGCTTTCCTGTGCCCTTTATGCTAGAGTAGTAAAACTGTAAAACTAAAAAGGCATTTGTCTCCTTTAAATATTGACTTGCTATTAATTTTTTGAGACTCACTTTCTTTTGCCTTCACCGTGCACATATATAAAATAAAAACCTGAACCCTTGTTATTATTGCCCTTTACCAATCCAAAAACAGTTGTGTTCTGCTTTTTTTAATTTTAAACAGAGTAAAACCTAACAAAACAAAACAGAATAAAGCCACTCAAAGCAAAACAGTGAACGTGGTACCAAACTTCTAACAGGATAATAAGAAATCAGCGATGGCTACCATAATACATTTTGTTATCTTCAAAATAGTTGTGCATACCATCAGGTATAGTAAAAATCAAATAAAACAGAATAAAGCAAATCAAAACAGAACATTTAACAAGACAAAACATTAAATTGGAACAAAACAAAACAGTGAGAACAGTATTGAATTTCAAAAACAAGGCAGAAGGAAATCCCCCACATTTGTTATATTGCATACTGTCATCCTCCTAATAGATGTTCATACTACTGCTTTTAAAATCCACCAGAGGGGGAACTATCGTGTTTCTGTGTGTTTAGTTTGCAAAACACTTTATCTTTTTTTCTCATATAACTTTTGATTGAATAGTTACTTCTTTTTATGGATGATGCTATGTCCTGTAAGCCACTGTTGCCAAGTGCAGTATTCAAAATTAATGTATACAATTATTAATCATGCAATTATGTTGATACATTTTAGAAGAATATATAACCATTAATATGTAGCTGTATAAAATACATACATGGAACATCAAACTCTTGATTTTACTGATATTGCTTAGCCCAAGGGCTTAGCTAACTCAAAAAGTTGTTTTTTTTTTTTTTTTTTTTTTGCGGTAAGTAAATAACTGAAAAAAAGGTTATTTTTTACAGAAGTAACTATACTAATGATACAATAGACATGAAAAATGAAGAAACATACCTATGACTGTAGTAGAGATGGAGATACAATTTTAAATCCTGAGAGTACTGAAATTTAATACATATTTGTATTGTAAAATTATGGCATTAAAGAACGAGTGTTGAAAAGTTCACTGACAGTTGTGTCTACATATATAAACTATGCACATCCATTTTTAGGCATGATGCCTTTCTTACGTATCTGTGAAATGTTTGTAGGTCAGCAAACCAGATTCTTGTTCAAAACTTTAAGAAATACCCTCATACTACATTTGTGTATATAAAGTCTCTCCCAACCCATCTTTTATAACTTTTTAGTTTGCAGGTTTTTTTCATCTACTTTAATTCTCGTGGTCATCAAATTAAAAATTCTTTTAAAATACTTATTTAGAGTTCAAGTGAACTCTAGTCCAAAATAATATAAGCATTCTTTTTTTTTTTTTTTTTTTTTTGTCTTTTTCCTTTTTATCGGTACCGGGGATCGAACTCACGACTGCCTGCTTTCAAGGCAGGCGCTTATGCCGCTGAGCTAAACGCCCAGCCCCTATATAAGCATTCTTAAGGTATATAGATCTACATGAAAGAGAACATTCTCTTCAGTTGTGAAATAATGGAATATTCATTGGGTCTCAAATTCATTTGAACTATAAAAGGCTAATTCATGTAGGAAGCTTGGTGTTCTGTCTCACTGTTTCTCTCTGCCCAGGGTGGGGAAAGTGTATTTCTAGCATTGTTTATGGAGAAGTATTCAGTAGCCTAATAGAAACTGTTAATACCCACTTCCAGTTTTTAAACACGGATGTAGTGAGCCTGACATGTAGCCTCTCTATAGCACTGTGCAGTTGCCAAAGAACTCTCGCATCTACTGTCTTGATCCAGCCTCATAACTCTGTATGAGACAGTTAGGATGGGTGATGGTGATAACCCTATTCACTAGACTAGAAACAAAGTATTAAGTAACAGAGTTACTCCTCAAGGCCAAAATTCTTAACACTCTGTGTATCTGTATTGGAAAAGAACAATTATCTTGGTGCCCTAACTTGTTTGAAGGCAAAAGTCCCAGCTTCAGAGATCTCAATAGACCAGGCTCAGCTACTGCCTAACATGCCAGTCCAGGAGACAACAGTGGTGACATATGGAAGCAGAGCATTGTTCAGCCAGGCCATGTCAGAAAAGACAGGTACAGAGATTCCAGATATCTCTTCTTGAGTGGTGAACAGATACTTTGAGGTTATTTAGAAAAAGAAACAAAAACAAAGGTTGAGAGTTTTTCCAGCTGAGGGTTTGCATAGCCGGTAGTGTAGGTATCCTGGTTTAGTTAATTATTACCTCAGGATTGGTTCTGTGAGGTGGCTCTAGAGAAGTGCTGATGGTTTGAGGTAGCAACCCAGTTCCCATGAGATGACTGGCCCTGCTGGGGATGATCTGTTCTGTGAAGTTCTCCTGTGCCTGGAATCCAAGGTGGCTGTAGGGTTAGACTGTAAAATGAAGTCTTCTGGGAAGTGCAGAGTGTGGCTGGAGACTTCTGGCCGCCATGTAAAGGGTCTGCAACAGACTTTGTAAAAGCTGGCAGCTGAGCATTCTTGGAACTCTTGAAGTTGCCTTAGTGGTCCAACTTGGTGTTCTCAGTCTGGAAGAGGGATGAGATAGGAAATTAAAAGTTAATAACCATGCTTGTGTTGGCAGTTTTCAAACAGATACTTCTTAAGTAATCATCATGCATATATATAGAGCTGAGCAGTAATATGATTCAAACTTTTACAAGAAGGAAACATACATAAAATGAAGGCAGAGATTCTGAGTTTTATCCTGCTTTTAGTTGCCACTGGTCCATAGCCCAGGCCTAAGCTTCTTTGTCCTTATTTACTGACTGGATAGAAATATGGAGCAGATATTTTGATCATGTACTCATCAAGAAACCTTCTGGTTTAAAGCATGGGCTTCTGAGTGATCTTAATCTATCAGGAAATCAGTGGCCTCTAGAAATAACCACTGTCACTTGTCTTTCTCTTTTTCTAAATGGTTAGTGTAAAAACTAAGTATGTGGCATTCTGATATCTAAATGTCATCCTTTGAGTTCACATAGCATTAATCGATTCTTTGATACATGATCATCTCTGGGTTCAACAGACATTTCTCCATGTGAGCAATCATCATCGAGTTATGCATTCTTCCATCATCCTAATCTTAATAGGTATTTTGATACCTAATAGCATTTGAACCTCTGTGCAATAATAATTTTAAGGCTTTGGCTCCCTTTAGAAGGAGAAAAAGGATGGTTCTTAGGTGTGATGTATATAAATGGATATTCTTTTTCCTACTTTCATTAATAAAATATTACTTAAAGCTAAAAACATTTAATAGAAAATTGAAAGTTCACTGTTATATCTTCTAAGAATAGCTGCCTTTGTGAAACATAATGAGTGAATGACCTGGGGGATTTTTTCCAAGTCTATTTTATTTAAAGGAGAAAAAAAACTAAAACAAATTTTCAAAACCCATCAGTCAGGACGACAATGGTATGCACACTGGACACTGTCATCCCCAAATCATTCACCCAGAGCACAGGACATCTACATTCAATTGTCTGAACAGTACCAGAACAACTCTTTTTCTTCAGTGAACTCAGAGAAATCCATAGTATAATGATCTTAACTATTTTTACATACATATATATGCGTATATATTATTTCTTTCAGCTTCTCATACTAGTGAGACAATATGGTATTTACACATGTGTGTCTGATTTATTTCACTTTATGAGTATGGTCTCAAGTTGCACCCATTTATTGATAAAAGTCTCCAGTTTATCCTTCTTTATGGCTGAGTAGTACTCCGCTGAATATAAACACATCTTTTTTTATCCATCCCTCAGTCAATGGGTATTTAGGTTGTTTCCAAGATCAAACTATTACAAACTGTACTGCTATAAACACGGGTGCACATATATCGCTGTGGTGTGATGTTTTTAATTCTCTTTGGAAGATACCCAGAAGGGAATAGCTGGGTTGAATGGGACCCCTAGTCCTAGTTTTCTGAGGAATCTCCACCCTTATTTCCCAGTCTGCATTCCCATCGACAGTGGAAAAGGGTTCCTTTTTCCCCAGAGCCCCTCCAGCATTTGTTACTGCTTGATTTCTTGATAGTAGCCATTCTTTCCAGGGTGATGTGGACTCTCAGTGTTGTTTTAAGTTGCATCTCTTGAATGATCAGAGATGTTGAATATTTTTTCACGTATTTATTTGCTGTTTGTACTTTATCTGAGAAGTATGTATTCATTTTGGATGCCCGTTTTTGGATTGGATCTATACATCTGGGAGAGCTGATCTTTTTGAGTTCTTTATACGTTCTTGACAGTAATCCTTTGTCTGAGGTACAGCTGGCAAACATTTTCTCCTACATTGTAGGTTGCCTCTTCACTCTGTTGGTGGTTTCTCTTGCTGTGCAAAAGCTTTTCAATAGGGTGAATCCTAGTTGTTGATTCTTGTGATGATTCCTGGGCAATCAGAGTTTTGTTCATGAAGTCTTTGCCTATACCAATATCCTCAAGAGTTTTACCTATTTTATCTTCCAGAAGATGTACTGTTTCTGTTTTAATATTAAGATCTTTGACCCATTCTGATTTTAGCTTAGTACATGGTGAAAGACGTGGCTCCAGTTTTAATCTTCAGCATGTGCAGAGCCAGTTTTTCCAGCACCATTTATTAAAGGGGCTGTTTTTCTTCCAATGAATGTGTTTGGCACTTTTGTCAAAGATGAGGTGACTTAGTATGCCTGGAATTGTTTCTTCATCTTCTAATCTATTCCATTGATCTTTGGGTCTTTTTTCCCCCCAATACCACAGTTTTTATCACAGTAGCTTTATAGTATAATTTCAAGTCAGGGATTGTGATGCTCCCAGTCTTGTCTTTGTTGTCCAGGATTGCCTTTGCGCCAATCTAGGTCTCTTTTAGTTCCAGATGAATTTAAGGAGTGTTTTCTCTAATTCTGTGAAATATGTTGTTGGAATTTTGATTTGAGATTGCATTGAATCTGTATAACAGTTTTGGAATATGGCCATTTTTACTATATTGGTTCTTCCTACCCAAGAGCATGGGATATTTATTTTCTAATATCCTCTTCAATCTCCTTTTTCAGAGTACTATAGTTTTCAATGTAGAGGTCTTTTACATCCTTCGTTAGATTGATTCCTACATATTTCCTTTTTCTGGATGCTGTTGTAAAAGGTATTGTTTTCCCAATGTCTCTCTCACTGAGTTTGTTATTCATGCATAAGAAGGCTATTGATAAGAAGGTGTTGACTTTATAACCAGCTATGTTACTGAATTTGCTTATTAAATCTAGAAGTCTTTTGATGGACTTTTTGGGGTCTTCTAAATGGGGTATCATGTCATCTGCAAATAACAATAGTAACAATAGTTGAACTTCTTGCTTTCCTATCTTTATTCCTTTTATTTCTTCCTCTTGTCTAATTGCTCCAGCTAAAGTTTCCAGGACTATGTTAAATAAGAGTGGAAACAGTGAACATCCTTGTCTTGTTCCTGATTTTAAAAAGAAAGCATTCAGTTTTTGTCTATTTAGTATGTTGGTGGCTGTTGGTTTGTTGTAGATGCCTTTTATCAGATTGAGATAAAGACCATCTATTCCAATTTTCTGTAGGGTTTTTAATCATGAATGTGTGCTGAACTTTGTCAAAAGCTTTTTCTGCATGTGTTAAGATGATCATACTATTTCTGTGAATGAGCTGTTTTAAGAAATCCTAATAACTATTTCTCATGTAGGTTCAGTCACCTGTGGACTCTTCCACAATGTCCCCAGTAGAGAGAACAGCAGCCTGGGTTCTAAACAATGGGCAGTATGAAGAGGATGTGGAAGAAACTGAGCAAAATCAAGATGAGGCCAAGCATGCTGAAAAGGTAGAAGCTACTCTGACTATATTGATGTTTTTGCCCCAATAAGTGATAGGCCACTAAAAGGGTTATCAAGAATGTTGTGTCCACCTGCTCTAGTTCCTCCCTCTGCCTCTATATTGTCCATTATATTTATATCTGTGCATAATAGTTCAGTAGCAACTCCATGTGCACATATGTAGGAAATACCCATCACACTACAGGAGAGAAAGATTAGATTTTTTTGTGTGTAGATTGCCTTTATATTGAAGACACTCTGCTATTTATTTCTAGTCATTTTAGGTAAATAGTTGTATCTGTATAAATCTATTGTTAGGAATCATAAGCTCAAAATTACCTTAGTACTAGACTTACTGTCTGTATTTTGTTGACAGTTTGTCCTGTTTTTTTTTCTTTGCCTTTCCTAGATAATATATAACTCCATAAATAATGCTTTAAAGTGCATTTGTGGCTTGAGTTTGTTGGTAGAAAACTGAACTAAAAAGAATCAAACAATCTTGCTGTCATGTGTAGCACTATCACATTTAATTGACAACCAAATAATTAACTTGTTAGCATAGCCCTAAATTATGCTTATTAATATAATATATTAGAACTGTCATTAAAAACTTTCACCTTTGGGAAGAGAGAGGAGATACCTAAATCTGTAGAGTTTGAAACACCAAGTAAAGACTCAAAATGTAATTTTAGAGGGGGGGGGGCAATGCTTCATTAACATTTTATGCTGATTGTTCATTTTAAATAACATTAGCAGCAAAAATAACAACACTAGCCGCAACAAAAGGAATGGCAACTCAGGCAGCATCCAGCTGCATTGCTCAGATTTTCTTTCATTAAAACATACTATTACTAGTTTCTCAAGCCTGTGTAACTCTCCGTGTCATTGTACCTCTTCTCCTTTGCTCCAGTATGAACAAGAAATTAGCAAACTAAAGGAGCGCCTGAGAGTGTCCAGCCGACGGCTGGAGGAGTACGAGCGACGGCTGTTGGTGCAGGAGCAGCAGATGCAGAAGCTGCTGCTGGAATACAAGGCCCGGCTGGAGGACAGCGAGGAGCGACTGCGCAGGCAACAGGAAGAGAAAGACAGCCAAATGAAAAGCATCATCAGCAGGTAGGGCTACCTGGTGGCAGACGTGGGCTTGTGAAGAAGTATAAAGAGCCAGGCAGTGCATGCCTGTCAATCCCCGCATTCAGGAGGCTGAGCCAGGAGGATTGCCACAGTTTGAGGCCAGCCTGAACTAAACAGTGAGACCTTGTCTCTAAAAAGATTTATAAAGAGATGGGAAGACATTTCAAACACTCTTAAAGGAAGGTCAGTGGAAGCATATACACCCCTGTATATGCTCTGTTACTCACTACAGATATATTGACTGACTCTATCTCTTTAGGTATCTTAAATATGAGACCTAGTACATCTCTCATTAAGACAAGGGAAGGCTTTACCTTTAATCATAACAATTAAAGATAAAGGTGGGTGCCTAGTGGCTCATTTGAGAAGTTATAGCAAAGAACTGGGTGTAAAAAAATCTATCCAGTGTCCAAAACTAACTTAGACTTCCAAAAACAAGTCCAGAAACACAGAAAAGGGTTTTACTCTATGTCGTTAGGGCCAGAGGACCAAAAGAGAATACTGCTGCTGCCAACTAAAGGAGATTAAGAGAGGTCAGTCTTACTACACACTTACAAAGCACTCACTGTTGGCCAGGCACTTTTCTAAGCACTTTACAGATACTAATTTGTTTTCACCTTAACCCCTGAGATATCCATGAATATTATTTTACAAATTTAAAAAAGCTGGCAGCAAATTCATTAAGTCTTTTGCCCAAGATCACACAGTGGTTGTCTTACTTTTCTCATTGCTGAGCCAAAATATCCAGCACCAAATGTTAAAAGAGAAAAGGTTTAGTTGGCTTATAGTCTGTAGAGGTTTCATTCCATAATCAGCTGGCTCCAAATAAGCATGGCAAGACAGACAGGCATCACACAGGAGAAACTGTTCATGGCAAACAGAAGATAGCAAAGCAACAAGGAACCTTAACAGCATCTTTCTGCCCCTCTTATCCAGGCTACAGAGGAAGGGTAGCACTCACATCCTTTTTTTTTTTTTTCCTTTTTATCGGTACTGGGAATCAAACTCACGACCGCCTGCTCGCAAGGCAGGTGCTTAGGATGCTGAGCTAAATCCCCAGCTCCTGCCCTCATATCCTTAATCCTAGTATCCTTGAGCCTAGCATTATACCATGAATCAATTCTAGCGTCACACACTCTGGAATCAACCACTTCTGAAAAAGCCCTACCTATGTCTGCAGGAGGCTTTGAGGGGACAGGTAGACGCAAGCCTAGACATGGGGGTGCACCAGAATTTGAAGCCATGCAGTCAGACTTCAGTGTCTGTACTCAAAGCCAAAAGTCATGTAAATGGAGGGCAGAAAGGCACTTTTGAGCCACTAGATAGAACAGAGGAATTAAATAAACATAGTGGGTTAGGTCGTGAGCAGTGGCTGGCAAATAAATTAAGCCTACCAAGTACAGCATATTCTTAAGAAACTTAACTGTGCAAAGAAGAGTACATGGTTACTATGTACTTCAAATTAAGAGATGGTGGGGGGTTTTTATTGGTTGGTTTGATGTTTTACAACAAAATAAGATATGCTGAGGAAGGGATTGGATAGAGGTAAAAGAGGAAATGATTAGAGAAATACTGTTCCAAAGGAGATGAAATGCGTGAAACCCAGTCATAGATGGATAAATCAGCGATGGCTGTCTTCTTTGAAGATAAGGGAGAAGAAAGAAAAGATCGTTACAGGTTTCTTATTAGAAATCTGGAAATATGATTAGTTTTAAGTTTCTTGTTCTCCACATTATCTATGTGAAATGTTGATACCTCCTTCCTGCCACATTCTAGGCTAATGGCTGTGGAAGAAGAACTGAAGAAAGATCATGCTGAGATGCAAGCAGTTATTGATGCAAAGCAGAAAATAATTGATGCCCAGGTAAGCCGGCTCTGAATCTAGTAGAAGACACTTGTTTTTAGTAACTGTTATTTTCCGACTTCCTACCCCTGCAACTGCCAAAGCAGGCACTAGAAAATGAGGCATGAAAACTTCTTGGCATTACCTTTCGAAGATTAAATGAATTTCTGTACGCCCTTCATTATTTTTCCTTTCTTTCGCTGATGACAAGTTAACCCAGCACAGTGTTAGTATTTAGCAGAGTTGTTTGACAAATCTCAACCTAGTGCATGATGCGGTTTGCTTCTTTCCTTGTGGAAAGGAGAACATTCTTAAAGGGGCAATTGAAAGGTGCCCTGCATGTGCCTGGCTTGTGACCTCTACTGACCATTGCTTGGCTGTGCTGTTCACGGTCTTGTCAGTCACGTCCACTGCCATCAACCTCTAGCCTCAGACAGTGCTGAAACTGTGAGAGAGAAACAAGATTATAGAAATACCTTTCCTGTTACCCTTTTGATTTAGGATCTGGCACTGCTGCTTGGAATGTGCTTGGCTGCCCTTCTTGGTGCTGTGCTTAGAGAGCCCCTCTAGATAAAACTTTTTAAGAAAAGTTGATAAAGGACTGGAGATTTAGCTCAGCGGCATAAGCACCTGCCTTGCAAGCAGGCAGTCGTGAGGTTCGATCCCTGGTACCAATAAAAAGGAAAAAGAAAAGTTGATAAAATCAGAACCAAGACCTCTGGCTTGCAATAACTTATGCCTGTGATACCAGTGAAATTATGTCTGTCACGGGCTCCTCAGAGGAACACATTGGTGATCAGAGCAAAATCCAGGAAGCAAGAAATGTTTCTAACTTCTTTTCATTTTATAAGTGCAAAATGTGATTGTATTTCTTAGAACAACAAAAGGCAGGTGCAATTTTGGCAGTAAGTCCTGTAGCCACTCAATGTATCACCACTCTGAAGACAACCAGTCAGGTTTTCATTTCTCAATCTTAAGGTATAAAATAAAAATGAGAGTAAGAATACATATGCATAAATGTTCCACTCCCTTCTCAACATATCAGCCAGTATCTAGTATATGTTAGAGCCCCCAGGATTAAACATGCACTTAACGGTCTCCTCTTTTCAGGGCAATGTAATATGGCTTTTATTTTCCAAATGAATTAGGAGACTGAAAGCATGGCCATGGGAAGAATGTTTTATGGGCTTTGTACTCCATTAAGTACAGTAGACCTGAAAATCAGGTGTGAACTGTGATGCTGTCTCATTAGTGTAACTCGCAAAATATTTTGGATTCTTGAACTCTCTAGATCCTGGGAGATCCAGAAGAAAGATCTACTGTCATTGTCTTACCTGACCCTTTCTAAAATTCCTGTTAGATGTGCCCAAAATGAGTAAGAGGAAGGTAGTAGAAACAAGGCCATCTTGCTATGTGTACTCTTAAAAATTCATGGCAGAGACTTAAGAAAAACAACCTGGTTAAAGAGAAGGCAGTTGAATCAGGAAAACTAGTGCTGGTAAGTTTTCACCTTTGGAATTTAATATAATAATACAAAGCAGGGAGAGTTTCCTAAATCACCACACCAGGGAAGATAAAAGAGACCTTTTAATAATTTCAGCTGATCTAAGTAGTCAGTCCTAAGCAGAGAACTCAGCTGTACTACACCCCTGGCTTTGTGCTTATGGCTGACCGCACAGCCTGATCGTTAGCATTCAAAGATTCCTACACTGCCTGCCTCTTACTTTGCCATTTAGGGCAGGGTAACTTGGTATGATAACAGAAGTCATAGTCACAGAAGGAGAAAGCCGAGGAGGAAATCTGATTTCTCAGGGATCAAAAGCTCTAGGGTTTCATGTACAGGGTTTAGAGAAATGCTAGCCTCAAAGCATTCATTTAGTTTTCATCTGACCAAACTAATTAATATCCTGGGTATATAACTTAAGGCGGTGGTTTTCAGTGGTTCAGTTCTCTGGAAATTTTAATAGAAACAAGGCACCTTCAGTAGACTAATATCCAGTGACCACTTAAGAATAAAAACTATTCTCAGCTAATGGGTCAAAACATCCTGTGATTGGTTAAATATGATAAATTATCTACTCAAACCTAGGCATTACTATAAAGACTGTGGCTCCCTAAAGAACACTTGGAGAGTATGCTAGACCACATTTTGAAAACCATAGTGCCATGTAGAGCACAAATCATAAACACTGACAACATTTAAAATAATAGTGGCCTTAAAAGGAAAATTTCTCAATCCCAGTGATACATTGAAATCTTAAACAAAAATCTTTTTTTTTTTTTTTTTTGTCTTTTTCCTTTTTATCGGTACCGGGGATCGAACTCAGGACTGCCTGCTTGCAAGGCAGGCGCTTATGCCGCTGAGCTAAATCCCCAGCCCCTTAAGCAAAAATCTTTAAACATCCTTTGGCATCCTTGGTAATGAATGACCTTTTTATATTTGATCCTTTGTCTTCTAAGAATAAATCTTACTTCTTAACTATCTGATGGAATACAACAGCCCTCTGGCATCATTTATTAGAATGAAGACAAGTTTAGGGGTGAAAGCTTCCTGGGGAGGTAACTCATGCTTTCAAATACCTCATAGGTGTGTTGGTGCCACTGATAGTAAAACACATTTCTGAAATGAATGCCGTTGTCTTCTATGTGCTGGAGTTAAAGCTGGCACTCATTTCTCAGAACACTACCATCCAGGTATTCTCAGGCATGGTCTTCACCTTCCTAAGGTGGAGATGCCCTGTGCTGCCCTGGGAAAGACTTGCCTTGGATTCAGCCTCTTCCTCTCCTTGAGTCAGTTCATGCACAGAGCTGTGACAGCCACTTTGTATGAGAACTGTAAAAGGATGAGCACTCCACAGTTAAGGGGCAGAATCACCAGTCCTGAACATTGTAGCTCAGACATGAGGACTTAATGGTAGCCGAAGAAAACCATTGCTTAAATATCAGATCAAGAAATGAGCCACCTTTCACTCCCAAGCATGAGGGGACACTGTGACTCCCAGAATCTCTCTGTGGGACTCAGTGGAGAACAGGGAAGAGCTTCCTCCTATAAGAAGCAAAGCAGGTGCCTAGTTACTATTGCAAGTGATGTATCCGCTGTGTTAAATTACAGGTCATAAATGGAAATGAGATTATTCAAACAGGCAAGTAAACCCTGTCCGTTTTCTAGCTGAGCAGTTCCCAGCCTTGGCCCAGTGCACCGGCTTCCTACACATTCCAGCTCCTCCACTCCCCGTGCTGAAACCCTTTCTGTCAGGCATGGATTAGATTGCTTTGCCTTCTAGTACAGGCAGAATCAAAATGTCAAAGCATCTTTAGCCAAATGTCAGAGCTTGACTTTCAAATTTTCTGTTTGGTTTGATTTTAAAAAAAAAAAAAATTGTTTTGACAGGTTAGCAATAGGGAAACTACAGTGGGAGTTTCTCCACCTGGAAACATTTAGTTTTCTAGTAGAGGATTGTTTGGTCTCACTTGTTAGCTTTGTAGGCAGTAAGTAATTAGTCATTCTTAGCCTTCTTGCAGAACCTTTCAGAATCAAGTAAATTTTTGGAAATGCTTGAATTTTTTAATGAACCCTGAAGAGTCTTGCTTTCCTTGGTACTGGGACCTTATAATTCATCCAAATATTAAAATATCTTCTTCTCTTTAACAGTTTCAACAAATTAGCAGTTTTTCTGTTTAGAGAGCATTCCTGATCTTCAAGGGGAAGGATTATATTTGGCACCTCTTGTTCCTAGTAACCACTGGTCAGCTCCTACTTACTGACTTTTAAAAGATCTACATTTGTTTTCCTAGTAACCCTCACTGCTGTAATTTTTCAAATAATTATTCTTAAAAACCTTACAGAACTTTCTCTTTTTAAGTTTTTCCTGAGCTTAAAACAAGTAATCTTTCCAAAATTTAAAGCAAAAACTCCAGATTAGTGATTAGTTAATAATGAGGATTTTGTGTATCTTTATCACCTGGAAAGGAAATTTTTTAAAGGATGATAATAATAAAAAGCTACTTTTTGTTTTATTTTGTTTTCATGCTTTTGAAATTGTAACCACCAGCACAGTTGCCACACAGACCCCACTTACAGCAAAATTGAGCTCAGAGAGATCAGTTGATGCCCTGGTTATCAATGATTTACCCAGATTTTCCCTCAAGCAATGGGCTTCCCTCTGCATGCTCCTGGGACTTCGTGTTCCAGTGGAGCAGTGCTACCTTGGCAGCCTTCTATAGCTAATGCTTTAGTATCAAGGATCAGCATTGACCCTCAGCTCTCCAATCTGGTGCTTCCTCTACAAGCCCTACCTAACCCTTTCCTAGGCAAATTCAGAAACTCCCAGAGTAGAAAAACTCCTTTTAACTTTATAGTTCTTCCTCGTGGACTATTTTCTTTTTAGTTTCATGAGCATAGGTAAAGATTATACTTCTCTGTGTCCGCCTATTTTCTGAAAAATACAGACTTCATGTTGGAAAGGTTTTGGGATAGTTACAAGCTACTGATGGTTGTGAGACTGATGTTTTGATGGGATGATTTTTTTTTTAATTAAGCTGTTCCTGCTTTCCTTTAGATTAACTTTGTTTTTTAAATCTTTTCCCCATTGGTTTATTTTCTCCCTTCCCTTCCCTCCCTTTCTCTTCCTCTGTGTGTGTGTGTGTGTGTGTGTTCAATGACTTTTGCTTCTAAAATGTGGTTCTAAAGCATTATTTTTTTTCAGACACTCAAAAGTCAAATGAAAGCATTCTCCTTATTGATGGCTTTCCTGGAGTAACTCTGAGCTGGAATGGGTCTAGGAGCCTGTGTTCTCTATTTGTTTTCATGTGTTATGTTTATAGCATCCCCCTTTCAAGTCACATCCCCCTCCCCATATTCAAATAACTCCTCTGCCTGAGCTTTTGGCTGCTTTTATTTCCTCTTGCTCTTGCATCCTCACTTTACTGGTGACTTTAAACTGCCACCATGTATTGTTTTAATTTTGAGCACAATGTGAATTCTTTCTAAATGTGATTGTTATGCCCTCTTTTGGGAATAAGAACCCATAGATCACATGCACTTCTCTTCTGTGAAATGAAACTTCTGGTGCTTCTTTCTTTGCTACCTAATTTTCATATTTCAATTTTGACCAAAAGCACTTAATATGGTAAGGTGTCTTGATGCTACTGTTGCATAATCCAAAGTAACATGTGGTGTCAGTTGTACAAAATAGTCTCTTGTTCCAAGAGATTAGCAGGGTGACAATTCCTGCTATGCTGCAAGGAAAAAGAGAAAGAAAATAGAGGAGAAAAATATAGAAAAATGAAGGGAAGCTGAACCTAACCAGTGCGCAGAAAGAGGCAGAGACGTTCCATTTGTTTGGGAAGCACCATGCATACCACTGTGTGAGAAAAAGCATTGGACTAGGTCATTCAATAAAGAAAGGTATTATTTCTTCCATACAAACTGAATAAAGCCATGATTGGTATGTTATAGGAAAAACGGATCGTGTCCCTGGATTCTGCCAACACCAGACTGATGAGTGCGCTGACCCAAGTGAAGGAGCGGTACAGCATGCAGGTCCGCAATGGCATCTCCCCCACCAATCCCACCAAGCTTTCCATCACGGAGAATGGTGAATTCAAGAACAGCAGCTGCTGACAGACTGGGAATACAGACTGTGAAAGGAGACAGAAGGAAGTTTACCCACTCTCCTGTTCCCAGCCCTTTACTCAGCCCCTCCAGGTTTACAGAATGTTGCTAATTCACAATGGCAATGTGGTGAGAAACTCAAAAGAAGAAAGGAACTTGTCTTTCAGGGCATAAGCGAAGATTTCCAAGGTTGAGCTTCCCCAGTCTATATGTACATAGGGAACTTAGTTCTGGGCCATGTACAGAAAATACCACTGTAATATACCAAAAGGAAGTTAATAATGTAGATTGGCTTTTTAATTATTACTATTTTTGTTATTGTTTTGCTCTTGTTGAAAGCACTGCAGTTGTTATAGGAGGAAAAGTAGGAACTACAACTATGTGTGATTGAGAAATGAGCCTATGGGTTCAGTAGGTAGAGACCAAGTATCTAATAGAAGCACATGGAGTGCAATAGAACATTGTCAGAGTGAACTTTTTCAGGGATTCATCTGCCAGTTTCAAAGCCCCATTCTGGTCCCCTGGCTGTTTAGGAAACCATGCAGATACCAAGATCCATATAAAACAAAAATTTATGCCATTGGTCTGGTCACCCAAGACTGATTCTGGTCAGACAACCAACCATGACTTGGACTCTCACTGTTTCAGAGGACAGAGATAAAGGCAGTTGCATCAAAACTGGACTTGAGGAGTGATGTCTAATGAACTCCTGACAATATGTCTTAATGTTCTCTGTCTACAGCAGAGGGAATTTTCTGTTTTAGATACGAGTTTTTTTTAATTTTCACTCCTATTGTAATAAAGGGTGTTCTTTTTCCTCTTTAGAGTTTACAAAACTATAAATATTTGTGTCTACATACATTCTTTATCTTCGTATGTCCACTGCCCATGGTGGGAGCAGTCATCATCAACAGGATTTACTCTCCTTAGGAGAAATTACTCAGACAGACTGTTCATAAGCCATCTGAAATAAACACCCTTTCTGCACAGAAAAGGGCTAACCACAACATAGCAAAAATCTCTGAATAGTTCCTGTCAAGTTTTTTTGTATTTGTAAAGTTTTTTTTTTTTAGGATAAAGATTTTATCCATTGTATTTTGGGAAGGGTAATTTTACCTCCAATATTTAATTTTTAAACTGCTGCTGCTGCTTCTTAGTCCCTCAGTATAATTTGGAAAGGAAATCCAAACTTGAACTATGACTTATAAGTCTCATATTTAAAAAGAAAACTGTCAGGATTGCACATTCCAACTGTTATTCCCATGCTTTTGGTAAATTTGGCAATAATGACCCATTTATCATCCATGGCTTATTAAAAGACAGAAAAGAATTTTCTCCAGAGGTACAGAATGTCATCTGGGATGCAACCTTTATTACCAGAAGTATGGAATGTTACATGTTAAATGGACATTATTTATACAAGTATATTTACATATAGTCACACATATGTACATATAACTGCACAAGTAGGAAACATTCATACCTTCTATGCTATCAGATATACAGATGCAATTTTAAAGGAGCCTTGAATCTCTTTAAGCAAGACATAAGCAGTTGTTTTATATTGAAAAAACAACAGTATTTCTCAAGTGAGTTATTTTAAATTACAAGCTTTAAGAAATTTTTTTTTACAGTAAAGAGGGGAAGGAAAGAAAAGGCCTGAGGGAGCTGTATCCATGGGCTGTTTCTACTTACGTGCGTTGTCTACACTCAAGGAAGAGCGCAGGACCCTCTTTATAGTGAAGCGCAGGCGTAGATACCAAGCCCTCTTTTTTTACTGAGTTCTAGGCTTGTATTTCTACTTTCGGGCTCTGCCCTTTCTCAGATGTATCTTTCTGTTGAATCTTTCACTTAAGCAAGCTCATCAAAGACCACAACCCACAATCTTTTAAAATATTTTTTATCATAACCTCTTTCCACCAAACAGTGATCTAAAACAGGAGCTTCTCGTTGTGCTTGGACATTCAGACTTCATACATAACTGTTGTGACACTATACTGTATTCTTACTTATCTCTTCCCTCCAAACTGAGGGTACAGGGCCAGGGATTTAGCTCAGCGGCCCACGTGCCTGCCTGGCAAGCATTAGGTCACAAGTTCAATCCCCAGTACCAAAAAAAAAAAAAAAAAAAAAAAAAAACCTGAGGGTACACTAGTCAAAGTCTTTTAATAGGAATAAAGGTTACCAATTTTGAAATATATTTGTTAGTTTGGGGAGGCATAAATATAGCTCTGTTCTTTATGGCTTATTCTCACCTCTAGCAAAGTTTATTTTTTTTTTAAGCCTGAAATTGTGCCCTAGAAAACTTAGTAAAAGAATTGCCAGTTTCAGTGGTCTTAAGTATGTAATGTAGGTGACGTCTGGCATTGAGATGTAGAAGTTTTTCAAGCATGGTGATGGACTCCAGAGGAATGATAAAATAATATTGAGATTTTAGAGGAGACAACAAAACAACAAGTATGTTTTTGATGAATGCACTATATCTTGTTAGCTTCCTCAGAAGACAGTCTGCATTGGCAGATGAAACATTTGGACATATTATGCAACCCTGTATAGGTTATCTTGAATGAAGAAATGAAAGTAAAATATTAGTAAGAAGAAGGTTAGAAGATGACAACTCCAAGGTGTTACTAGATGTTAAATTTTAGATGAATTCTTGGAATCTACTTGTCACGTTTTATTTCTTTACAGAATGCTACAACCTACAGAATTTATTCTGAAAGATTTTTTAAGTATGAAGGAAGGCAGCAGTATGTGATAATTTTTATGAGGGTGTTGCTTAACTGACTTTTTGTTCGGTCCCAATATATACATACATTAGTTTCACTAGCAAGAGGTGCATTGGTTGAAGAGAATCTGATTGGTTAAGACAGCCATGTCTTATACTTGCAGTTGCTCTCAATGTATCACCACATTATGGAATAAGGGTAAACCAGGGCTGAAAAGAATTGAGAATTCAGGTAAAGTGCTTATCTAGGTAACTACCAGACGTGGCCGTTAACATGGGCAATGTAAGGTTCAAGAAAAGAGTTTCATAGTTCCCTTTTGCATCATAGAGGCAAAAAGTTGCATTTCCCTCAGCCCATCATGATTCCAAGTCTCCACAATAAAATCCAGGGCAGAGGAGATGCTGTAATTAGGTCACCATAACAGGAACTTGAACACTTACCTGTGTTCCAGGCGCTGTCACCAAGGCATTGTTTCCATTTAGGAGACAGTCCTTTGGTGGGTACAGTGTGGCAGAAGTAAGTAATCACACTGCCATAGCTTTTTGCTCTTTTCACTTAATATCAAGTTGATCAAGATTAATTTTTTGACTAATGCGCTTTCTCCTCTATCATGGAGTTGCAGAGTGAATAAAAAAGTGAGATTTTCTAAGATTTCTGTATTAATTTTATACTCGAGCCCAAGCTTGACTTTAGAAGAAAAGCTTTTCAGACATTACTCTACCTGCAACATTTGTAGACCCCTGGCTTCACTGTGTCCTTAGATGTAAATCAGATTGGGAATAGAGTTCTTATTTGGAAGTCCCAGAAAAAGATGACTGCCATTGAGTGAGTTTATATTATTTGTTTTGCTTCCATCAAGATTTAATGCTAGTCACTTCTAGTTTGGAGTTCCTGACAAGGCTGGTTTTGGGCTGAGCTGGAGGAGCACCCTTACCTCTTCAAGATTACCCCATTCCCATCAGTCTGCCACAGTGACACCAGCCGATTCAATATTTGGTGACCCCGAGACTGCAAGCTCATTCCACAGCTTCACTGCGTCTTCAGCTGTACTTTTGGAGGTCACTTTTCCCTCAGAGTGTAGAAATCCTGAAGAACTCTTTTCCATTCCTTTCTACCAAGTCCAGTAATCAAGTCCTGTTTTCCCCAACAATAAATTGTTGCCTTCCCACATATTACCTGGGATACTATATTTTTAATCCATATGTCAACTGAAAGGACTTAGACTAGTTTGCTAAACGCAAGAAATGTTGAGGTGTTGAATTTTAAAATAGAATCTTTTCATGTTTGAATATTAGTTCAAGCCACATTTTCTTATTGTCATAACCCAGTTATGAATGCTTTTGAGTTTTGAAAGGACAAAACTAATGAAATTTGCATGAGACACAATAAATATGAGGAAGAACCAAGGAAGACATGTGTTCCAGAAGGGGACATGGCAGTCTTCTCAGTAACCTGGAGGTTCGGGAGATGAAGATTTGTATCTTTTGCCCACTTTTAAAACACATACATATAAACGGGGTGTGGAGGTGCACATCTGTAATCCTAGCTCTCTGGAGGGCAGAGAGCTGTGTGGCAGGAAGATCACAAGTGTGAGCTCACCCTAGACAACTTAGCAACTTGGTGAGACCCTGTTTCAAAGTGAAAAAGCACAGAGATGTGTGAAGGGTCTGGGTCCAACCCCTGGCAGTACACAGTTTCTGTAGATAACATGTCTATGCTCACAGAGTACACACAGTTCCTAGGAATTCCTTTTTATGAATGCCAATGTATTTTATAGAACAGTGATTCCCAAACTTTCTTGCATTTTCTAGATATGTTCTCATTTATTAGATTTTATGGCAGTTTTTCTCTCAAGAATGTACTATATACGTGTTATATGTATATATAAGTTAAAGTGACTTGAACTTGATTTGGTTTGACATTGTCTCAAGAATCCTAGATATCATCTTTGATACCACAGGGAGTCAGAAATAAAGTTGAACATCACTGATCAGTCGGATATAGGAGGAAATAGCTTTGGTTTCTGATCAGTTAATTCTCAGGTGTTTTGAGTAGCCAACCCAGTTAGACTTGACAAATGCAGTGAACCATCCAAGGAGAACGGCAGATTTGGATCGGATTTCAGCATGCGTTTTATTTCCTACTCAGTTGTTACTTCTCACTCAAATACTCTCATCTTCCCCAACGCAATTTTTTGTTGGAGATTTAAAACCAGATTTATCCATTGCAGAAGGGCAAGATTTCCACAGAACCTATTTTGAGAGTCCACATATTCTATGTAGGGGTATAAAGATTTATGTATAACCATCTTGTTTATGTCATTTCAGACTCACAAAGAAAAAATTTTAATTTTCAGTTCACCAATAGGTTAAATATTGATTTAATGACCACTATCCTGCAAAAAAGCTAACTAATAAAGATTAAATTTTGACTGGTGCTTGACCTTACTTAGTTATATCAAAATTAACTCAAGCTCATAGCATTGTATTTACCTGGATCACACCTGTGAGGAATTTACCTTCGAAATTTATTTTGTTCTTCATCTCCAGGGCCTTAATAAGAGTGTGTTAATACACATGACTATTTTACAATAATAACACTAAATAATTTATTTTTTATTTCAAGGAGAAATACACCTTAGAAAAAGAGAACCCAAGATTTTATTTTATTTTTAAAGCCATATTTTTGTGCTAAGTAGCACTTAGATTGTTCCATATGTGAGATCCATATCTGCATTACATTACCTGGGTTTGTTCTAAAGAAGATTTATTTTTGTTCTGTGAATAATTTTTGATGGTTCTTGTACATGTACAGATATAGATACGTTTGAGGTCTTTTATTGATATTCCTACAAAGAATACAAATAAACTTTAACTTTAAACATTTCAGACTAAAGTTGCTACTGTATTTGGCATGTTACTACCTTCTAGTATGCATCTGGGTATTTAGGACACAGAAAAAAATGTATTCAAGAATATTATTCTGATATATTTTAATAGTAAGAACAATATGCCTTAAAATTACCCAGTTTTACAGGTAAAAAGATTTCTTAGCAATAGGACAGGCAGTTGACATTACCACAGTCTGTGCTGTGGGACTACAGATACAGCTCAATAATAGGGATTTGCCTAGCAAACATGAAGCCCGTAGTTCAGTCCCCAGCACAGGAAATGTGATCCCATTTATATTTGTAAATCGCTACTGTGTTCTCTTATGTTCTTCAGACAGATTTATTGGACCTTCTTTCAGAATTTTTGTTGTGTAGTTCAGATGTTTGTCCTTGTCTGTCACTCCCGAGGCTTCTCCTTCCACGTTCTGCCATCTTCTGCTTATCTGTTTCATCATAAAATCTAAGAATTCAGGTTTCATAGGTAGTTTGCTTTTGTGTTAGTTATAGGTGTGTACCTTCTGGCATATCTCTGTTATTTCTAGTCCTGTTCTTTTAGAAATTAAAGAACCAAAACTTACTAAAAATCCAGAAAAGACTGAGTAAAAGAGAAACTGCAAGTCAGTAGACGTGTGCTACTTTTTGTTCAGTTCAAAGCCAACCCATTTCAATCCGAATTGCTCATGACCTAATATAAGCTTTAAGACTTCTTGGATCTGAAACATCAAAAAGAGGAACAGGGCTGATGATGCAGCTCAGTGGTAAAATGTAAGATCCATCCCCAGCACCACAAAAAAAAAAAGGAAGAAAGAAAACCACTGACACTATCTTACGCCCTGTGGTTCTCTAGCTCTTTCATACCCATTAGGCTCACCCATACCCTGTAGGTCTATCTATACCCTTATAAGGTCCACCCATACCCTTTATTGTTCTTAGCCTTCCTCCAGATTTCTGCCCTTTTTTATTAGCACTTATACCAAAGGGAAAGTGCATGAATCAATTTTGTTAGGGAAAATAAAAGACAGAAAGAAATAAAGAGAATTTCTAAGGATTGAGGCCAGGCTGGGTTTGTTTGTTTGTGTGTTTCTTTGGTTGGTTGGTTTTGGAGGGGTTATTTGTTTGCTATTTTTCCTTAGACATCTCTAGAGGGTTCTAACTTAGTTTAGAACCACTAGTCTAAGTCAAGCTCTTGAGCACTGTGTGTATCTTTTACAGTGTTTTGCTTTGTTTTGTTTTGTTGGCTCTATCCTCAAACTGGGAAAAGTTAGCTATAGGTATTTCTTTGCCTTGTATGTGAAATTTTAAAAGCTGTTAAAACTAGAAATATATACCTAATCACACACATAATTTGTCCTTTTGTAGTTTTGGTACTTCCCACACATAAAATTTGTTCTGTTTGGTAGTTTAATTTTAATTATTTTATTTTATTTTGCTCGCCATGGAACCCAGGACTTTGTGCACATTAGGCAAACACCTACCACTGGAGCTATACTCCCAACCCTTTTCTATTTTACTCTGATACAGCCTTGCTAGCTACCTGGGTTGGGCTCAAACTCTTGATCCTCCTACTTTAATCTCCTGACTAGCTGGGATTAAAGGCATATGCTACAATGCCCAGGCCAACTGCAGTCTTTAAATCTGTGAGGTGGAAATTCTGTCATTTAATACGATCATCCCTTTGTGGGCTAGATGCAGTCCAACGAAGTTGACCAAAAGATGAAATTTCCTATTTTAACTCCAGTTTTCCCACCGACTCCATTTGAAATGGAAGGTAGATGGCTTCTGGTTAGTACCCAAACATCAGTGCGGACACTACTTAAAGTGTGCTTACAGCATGGTGCATTACGGCACATGCCTACAAGCCAGCTGCTCTGGGAGGCTGAGGCAGAAATATCAAAAGTTGAAGTCCAGCCTGGGCAACTTGATGATTTAGCAAGACCCTGCTTCAAAATTTAAAAAGGGGGAGGAGTTAGGGATATAGCTCAGGACAATGATTCAATCCCTAATACTGGGGGAAGAGGGGCCTAAAGGTCCGATCAGAACAAAATACGATACATCTAAAGGAAAACAACTTCCAAAAAGATACTTAACTTTTGTAGCTGTAATACTCAGTACTGCAGTTTTAGCCCTTGAAATTTTGCTAAGAAACTTACAAGATGATGAAGTGTATCATTTGTTGTTCTTTCAGTAGTGAACTACAAGAGCTGTCCAATTCCCTGCTCTACTCTTGGTCAGTGTGAACTCATATGCAGACTTGCAGAGGCACATACACTATCTTTCTAGAACATTGATCTTCTGAATTCTAGAATGAATTGCCTGCATACTTTGACTTTAGTCCTGTGAATAAACTTCAACAAGCTACGCAATAAATACCAATTTGTTTTCTTATGTGTAAAACTATGTTGGCTAGATGATCTATAGAGTGCTTTCTAGCTCTGATATCCTGTGATTATTACTTGATATAGTTGAGAAATATGCCTAGAGTCCATGTTCAGTGATCAGCTTGAGACTTTGCTGTCAGTATGTAAAAACAGTCTCCTGCCCCACAATACTGGGACCCAGGCACCCTTAGCTCTTCATTCAGTCACCCAAGGCCTGTCGGTGCCCTGCGAGACTTCCATTGCTTTTCCAAGTACATGGGAGGAAAAGTATCTAGAACAAGTGTAAATTCAGAACACCGTAGTAATAATGTTGATAGTAATAATAATAGCTGGTACTTGTTGAGTACCAACTGTGCAATAGATGTTTATATGGAATACATGATTTAATCATAACACCAGCCATATGTATTACGTATTATCATCATTCGTATTTCATGAGGAAACTGAGACTGAGACTCAGACTAAATTTACTTGTCCAGGTCATAAAAGAGTAAGTGGAAAGCTTCTGACTGTGTTGTCTTGACTGAAAAAAAAGAAGAAAAGGCCTCAGGAAACATGTTGGAAAGGCTAGAAAAAGACCTGAAAAGATCCTGATATATAACCAACCTGTCACTGAACCAAAGTGATGGCAGAACAAAATAAGCTAATTTTCCAAAGCTTTTTCTCTTAATATAATTGTTTTTGATAAACTACCTTGTATTGGCAAGTCACCTGACTGATTAAGATTAGAAGGCAGAAGTCTTACCTCTTTTAAAAATTGTGCTTTCATTTCTTCTGGGTCCCTCAGAGTTGAAATGATAAAATCTGCCTTCAGGATTCCAAAAGAGTACTCTGAAAAAGAAAGTGCTCCCTGGCTCAAGGGGAGATCACATGGCTGCTTACCCAGTGGATACCACAGATGCCATGTGGGGATTGAAGATTTCCCAAAAAGCGGGAGGGAGACTACTGAGGAGGAGACTGCTTAGCCATAATTAGGACTAATTAGTGGCAGAGGAGGAAAAATTCCCATGTTTGGGAGTAACGCTGGCTTTCCTCCCACAGTCACCAGGACATTATTTCTGTCTCTTCTGCGTTTTCCTCCGTCTTAAATCCGGTAAGAAGATGATCACAGTGTACTGAAATGTTCACCTCTCCCAGGGCTCTCTAGCCCAGGAAAATAATCCCAAAGAATTACTCTGAGCCTATAAATGAGTTCAGCCTTCAAGTGTGAGCCAAGCATAATCATCACAGGAACTACAGCGTCATAATAGGACTATGCTATATGTGTCTATATGTTCTGGTTTATTCTGAATCTTTGCACAACTATTAACTCTTAACCCTGTGCTGTAAGCAAGATAGATTTTACTGGCCCCTTTTTAAAGATGAAAAATAAAGACCAGAAAGTAAGGCAACTTATCCCCAAGCTTTCATTTATAGTCCTAGGGCTTAAACTAGAATCCACTTCTCATTCATACTCCGCTGCAAACATTTCATGCCGTCTTTTATAAGGAGGCCCCAGGTGCCCTTGGCAAAGCACTGACTGGGTTCAACAGCTCTGCTTTTAGGGTAGGAACTCAGCAAACAAGCAGTTACCTGACTGAGAGGCTGCTGTTTTTTCTTCAGACTCTGGGTGTGACGAGCTTAAATGTTGGACCTGAGCAGTAGTAACAGAAGTAGTAGTAGCTGTATCTCTTATATCAATGTCAACCTTTGTACTAGTCATGACTATGAGAGAGAAAAATAATGGAGTTATTGCAAATGTAGCCAGGAGTCAGGTGGCCAGACACTGGTTACTGCCAATGAGCCAAAAGACAGATGAGATCAGCAGTGCTGTGCATGCAACTGCTGCAGAAGCCACCCTGTGTGGGCAGCTCAGTTCCTGCCTGACCCTGACACACCCCCACAGGTCCCTGCTCCCAGACCATTGTCTTTCAAAACATACTCCAACATCGGGACTTGTAGGGCTTCAAAATATTATGAGGTTTGTCTTCAGTACTAAGTTTCTCCTTTGAGTAGCATATACCCCAAGAGGCCGATAGCATTATACTATCTGCCAGCTACCTAGAGCCCCATCATGCCTTACAGTGACCTTCAGTAGCGCTAGTGACAGGAAGACCCTAAACCAAGCTCAGTCTCTTCCCTGAAGCCTCCTGCCCCTCCGCATAGCTGGCCACACATTGAGCAGTGCAGCAAGAGACCCAGACAGCCTCAGCTGTTCTCATTTTCAGTCACCAAAGTCCTGTCAGGGCCCTGCAGATCTCGCCATTCCTTTTTCAAATGTGAACAAAGCCATCTTGTTATGTGGCATATTAGTATAAACTGGTAACCAAAAGCATCCTCTCCCCAAGCCAAGAACAACCAATATTCACAGTTCACTATAAAATAAAAATTCTTCATACATGAGATTTTTTTATCCATAAAGGTTTGCCTTATTCCCTTTAAAGGTTTCATAGTATTTCACTGAATGTATAACTTATTAACCAGTCTACTTTCAGTAGACATTAGGTTGCCTGGAATTCTCACTGTAATAAATAATTCCACGACAAGCAACCCTGTATGTAGAGGGTGTGTACCTTGAATTCATTTCCTTGATTTCTAAGGGTGGAATACCAATCGGAACAGACATGCTCATTTCAAAACTTTGCTTAAATGGTGACACTAGTTTACATGCCTGCTGTATTGGAGATCTCTGGTTTTGTTTGTTCATGTTTTGTTTTGTTTTGTTTTTCCCATCCTCAATATTACCAACCTTTTAGATCTCTGCCAAGCTAGTAGGTGAAAAACATTTTAAAATAAATTTTAATGCACTTTTAAAATTGCATTTCAGGGATTTGATGAACAAAGTTGAGCATTTTTTACAAATACATTTGTCCTGGTATTTCTTTGATTCGTGTCACCTAACGGATGATACAAAATCAGTTCCCTCATCACACCCCCACTACCCCAGAACAGGCTTCGGTGCCTTCCCCCCCAAGCTGTGCAAGTCTCCCCACACATTTCCTGTCCCTTTCCTGCCCCGCAGCCTCTGCGCAGGTCTCCCTTCGCCACCCAGAGCTTGTAAATTTCTTCACGTAATGAGCAAATTTGTAAAATTTAGAAACACTAAAAAAGGGGAACATGCGTATTCTCCTTACATGCCTATAACCACTCACCATTTTCACACATTTGCTTCTGATCTTTTCTCTAACCATTAGTTAATGTTTCCTTGTAGTATTATTAGGACTCCTTTATATGTATGATGTTGATTCATGTTCTTGTTTTTTATTAAGCATCCTAATGCAGACGTCCCATGTCATGACTACCTTGTTTCTGGAAATGACAGATCTGAGCATTTTGCTCACTTGCTAAAACCCTCTGGTGGCTCCACTGACTGCAGAATCAAGTCCTTCAGAATTTGGCTGCAGTCCATCCGTTTCCCACTGTGTGTCCCATACCCCAGCTATGTCAGACTGCTTGACAATCCCAAACAAGCCATATGTTGACACCCATTTGTCTTGGCCCATGCATTCCCTCTGTAAGAAAGAACTTCCTTACTGTTCCCTGCCACTGAAATTCTGCATTAAACTTTCTGTGCAGTTGCCGTCTTCTAGGCAGAATGAGTAACTTCCCTTTCTCAGCTCACGGTTTATACTTCAGTGTAGCACAGACCAAGCTGTCTTGGTTGTCTATGTCTGGTCCTATTAGACTCCGTCTCTTAAGAGCAGGAAACAAGTCCTGCTCATCTTGGCATCTGTAGTTCAGTATCTTGTTTAAAATCAGTACTCAGAAAAAATTAGATCATCTACCAATGTGCAAAACACCATTCTAGGCATGGGAGTAAAAGGAAAAGAAGCCACTGTCCTTTGAGAACCTGCTAATCCTGATAATTCATGATCATTCATAAGCATGTAAAATAAGAATGAGGCTGGTCTCATCTGTTTAATGAGGTAAGAACAGAGGTATAAAAAAGTAAGACACTAAATAAGTCACTTGTAAATTAAGATTGATATGGTAACAACTACCATTTATTGTCTGCAGATTCAGGGACTGAGAGAAGCCTTATAATGCTTTCTCTTCAGTTTAAAGATAAAAGAAATGAGATTCAGAGAGGTTATGAACTTGCCTAAGGTCACACAGTAAGTAATAGAGCCAGCATTCCAATCCTTGCCTGCCAGCCTTCTACCATTGATAGTAAAGTGGACTGTATCTCTCCCAGAGCTCCTTGACCCACTCCCATCTCCATTCTAAGTTGTTACCGTAGGAGGGTTGGCTGATGAACTGGCTCTGGCCAGACAGAATCCTCTACAGAGTGGCCTGAGCTTCCACCAAAGCCCAAGAGGAACTACGCCCCAAGCCGGAGTGTCCAGCTCCCAGACGCAGGCAGGCACCTGTTTCAGCTCCTGACTGGCACACAGTGGTGCTGGGAGGGTAGCTTGTCTTCTGGCTGTGGACTGACTGCATAGTTTTTCTTTGGGGCTCAGCTGGGTTCCCTGAGATAGAGACTGCTGAAGCCTTCCTTTGGTTCCCAGAGCCTCAAAACTGTGAAACCAGCTGGATAAAGAGGGCACAGAGGGCACTGCCAACCTGGGAGTAGCTGAGGCATCGCAGGTGGAGCCCAGCAAGGGGCCCACACCTACCTCCTGTGGAGTCACGAGCCTGCCCTGTATAACAGGGTCCCCCCTGAGATTCCGGCTCTGCAGTAGGGCTCACAGTGGTGGACAGAGAGGTCTTGACCGTTTCCCGGGGAACAGAAGGACTGCCCCAAAATTCAGTGCCAGTGGAAGCCAGTGTCCAGAGCGTGGAGTCGACAGATGTACTCTGGGCAGTGGCCAGCGGAGTCCTGGACCCTTCCTCGGGAACTGAGATAGCCCTCACGGGGTTGTGGTTTGTCGGAGGGCTTGGTGAGGCTGCCCCTTGGGATTGGGGAGCTGTGGGGCCTGCAGAGGTAGAAGTGTGGAGGTCACAGATTTGGGGGCTGAGCTCGGTGGACTCCAGACTCATCATCCAGCAGAAACCAGCCCTGTGAAGCACCCCATGGGGCCAGTACTGAGCCCTATTATAAGAGAGACACCTTCTTTGGGGTCAGCTGTGCCCAGGAGCCCTCCCAAGGTCCCCAAGCAAGCTGGAGTGGCACAGTGCATAAAACTTGTATAGCTAGCCCAGCGCTGAATACCCTCATGCTACTTCTGCGCCTGGCAGTGCCTACCTGGGGAAGATGGATGTGCATGGAGGCCTGCCCAAGTAGCCAGTGGGCTTGGAACAGCCAGGCAGGTGCCCGATTCGTTATTAGATGTAAAGCATAAGACAGGTTGTAATCCATCTTCTCAACCAGAAGGCTCTGAGCCTCTGCTCTCCAGCACTACACACACAAGTGTGTGCTCACACACACCAGCAGCTTCTTCTGTCTGCAGTCCACTACCACTTACCCCCACTGGGCTTTGCTTGCTGATTCCTCCTTATCCTTTGAAATAGTAGTAAAATCACCCCCACCTGATGCCCCCACCAGGAAACGCCCCAGTGACTCCAGGGGCTGGGACACTCCCTTCCCCATGCCTTTGACTCCAGGACGCACCAACCTCTTCCCAGCTGGCTCTGAGCTCCTGCAGAACAGGCCCTTTTCTTTACATCCTCAGTCTTGATTACATAGCACAAATTCTATCCGCATTTTTAAAATAAGCGAATTAGTGGAACTCTCATCAACCTCCATCAAGCCTAACTTCTCTGTGTCCTCAATAAAGGCAATAATGTCTTGGTCTGATTAGGAATCTGTAAGGAGGCCAGGAGAACTGTGGTTTTGCTCTCAATTATCCTAGTTAACTCAGAACTCTTGGGAAGCAAATTGAAGTAATAGCTATAAAGATGTTTCAGGAATTTAAAATGCCACAGGGATGCATCACTTGTCATTCTCAGCCATGGCCCTACACGACATCCCTACAATTTATCCTTCATGTTCTGTCCCCACAGAGGAGTCCACAATTAGAAGGAACTTCAACAGGTAACTCTATTATGCATAAAGGCCACTCTGATGACTTTTTTCCAAGAGCACTGTTCAACCAGCCCGTTTCCTGTCACCCGGTTCAGGCCCTTACACATCACTGGGGACCCTGCACACCCTCTTCTATGTTTCCAGGCCCTGGCTCCAAGCTCAAAGTCTCAATTCAAGGAGAAGGGAGGCAGGCTAATAGTGAACGAATCCTCCTTCCCCTACTCTTGGCTGACTCAGCAGTGTGTGAGTGGTCTGCCTGAGGGGCCCTTGATTGCCACTCAGTGGGTTCACTTCATTGTTGGCCACTTACTGTCTATTCTGAAGGGTCCCATAGGCCCTTACCCTAGCCTGCTCTATACAGCCTACCTCTCTGCTCCCTTGGGCCCTGAAGACCCCAGATCCAGGCAATAACAGGCTCAAAGCACTTATACTTAGCCTGGGAGTGGTCCCCACAGTAACTTCTGAGGAAGGAGTAGTAACTTTGGAGAAGGAAGCATTAAGCAGTGGAGGCATTGCTGCTGAATCCCGATTTCCAATGGAAGGGTCTGCAAGAAAATACAGACAATGTGAGGACAAGGTCTGTCAAACCTAATGGGCTGTTGGCCTATGAGAACTCACAGAAAGTGCAAGAGGGCAGCCTCCCGTCACGCCAAACTCAGAGGGAACAGTTAATGCACAGTGTGCCCATCATGAGACACATAGTTCACATCTTCAGTCCCCGCAGCAGCTATTCAAGGGTTCTGATCAAAATTCTCATCAAATCCAAAACACACAAGCAACAGCCAAGAACAGACAAAACCACAGAGATAAGAAGTAGATCGGTGGTCACCGGGGGAAGAATATGGAGTCAATGCAAATGGGGAAGGAATTTATTCAAAGGTTGATAAAAATGTGCTAAATTTAGTGGTGATACTTGCATATATTCTAAAACTCCCTAGATTATACACTTTACAAGGGTGACTTTTAAGATACATGGATTATATCCCAGTAAGGCTGTAATGAGAGAAAAAGAAGGAAGATGAGGAGGAAAAGGAGAGCCGTGAGGGAGAGGGAGGGGAAGCGGAGAGGGTCGGTGGGGAGGAGAGGGTGGGAGGAGAGGAGAGGGAGCCAGAGCAAGGCGGGCGGGCCTGTTGCTGAAAGGCATGTGACACCCAAGATCGGGAATAATTAGGCATGCTTCTGGTTGCAGCAGATTTATAGTGATAATATCTGGTATTTGTTGGGTGCTTAATCCGTGCCAGGGTCTCTGCTGGGCCTTTACATTCACTCTCTTGTTCGGCCTTCTGAACCGTACTATGAGGTGGGTATCATCAATCTTACTTGTAAATATATTTCCAGATAAGGAAAAGGAGACTCAGAGATACTGGCCACTTATTTCTAGAAAGTAATAAAATCTGTCTGATCTAAAGCCCATTTCATTGTCTAATAATTAATTGCTGTTGCTTATTGCTAATCAACTAAGATTGGATGATGCCTTTCAGTCTTTAAAATAACTTCCTCATAAGTTTATAGTACAAAGATCCCAGAAGTCTGCTCCAGAATTCAGTTACCCCCAAAGCTCCGAAATGCTTCCTTTTATCCTTTGTGGATCTGCTTCCAAATAAACCCACTGCCCATCTTACTTTAACCTCCAGAAGCTGAGCACCAGCAGTAGAGGAGACTCACCATAAAAGCAGATGAACGGTTGTTGGGAAGAGCAGATCACTGCATAAACCTTGGGGCTGAAGTGTGCATAGGTACGAAGCCCTGCACACAGCCCGCTGCTGAACTTGGGTGTCTCCAGCCAAGAGGGTATGTGGTCACCCAAGTCGCTGGACCATGTCAGATTCCTGGAGTTTGCATTAATGTAAAGGCCAATCCAGGCCTCCGTCTCATTCGTGACTTTCCTCAAGTTGGCCTCATTTTCCTTAGTCACTCTTTGCAGGTCAGCCAGGTCAGTGTGGTGGTTGCGACAGTACTTCAGAGCCAACCACCACGTCATTTTTTCTTCAAATCGCATGAAGATTTCTGTACCAATACGCACCTCGGCTATGGGCAAAGAACATGGAAATCATAGCCTGAGGTTCCAGATTTGTGAGCCCAACTTCACCATCCCTGGGACAGAGCTGTGGTCCGACCTGGGCCCTTGTCCCCAGTTCTCAATACCACAGTTCTGCAGGCAGACTCAATACCAGGTTGGGAAAAGGAACAAACTAGACATATCAGAACGGAAATAGGAAAACCACTAAGGAGAGCAGGACTGAGAGCTCTTCTTTAATGATACGGCCTTACAAGTTATGTTTAACTCTCAATTTCTTCATCTGTTCAATGGGGATAATAATGGTACCTGAAGGTGAGGATTACATGAAACCGTGTGCACAAATGGCTTAGCACAGTGTATCAAGTAGTTAGCACTTAACAAACTTCAGGTTATGAGAGGCAGGTATGAAAGGTTTGGCAGAGGGTATCAAATAATTAGCACTTAATAATTGGGAGGTTATGAGAACTAAGACAATCCTGCCTTGGAGGCAGGCTCATTTGTGATTTCCAGATGCAGTGTCTGCCACAGTGGCTCTAGGGAGTCCAGGCTTGAGGCATAATAGAGGAGAGCCAGAGAGAAGTGAGCCTGGTTTGGGACAGACACAGGAGGCAGGAGGCAGGAGGCAGAGCAAGCCATCCCAGTGCAGGAGTGCTTCCTGGAGGATCTCCGGCATGGCACCAGCCTCCCTCAGCCACTACTCCCAGTCCCTGCCGAGGCTGAACTGATCCAGCTCCTGAAAAGGGGCAGGCTGCCATTCCGTGGTCTCATTTGCGGTGCGTGCATCTGTAACTCCAGTTAATGGAAGTGTGGAAAGGATGTGAGCAGTTGGGGCTCTATCTAAGGTGTCAATTCCAGAGTTCTGGATAAAGCTAACAGTAGAATTGAGTGTCACATCATCACATTCAAATAAGGCCTCCCAGATGCTCTGATTTTCCTACTATTTCCTTAACATTTTCCCTCTCTAAACTGATTTTTTTAAGTTACTCTACATTAAGCACCTGGTGTGTGCCAGTCCTGAGCTAAGCATGTGGCCTACATCATCTAAATTCTCAGTCTAATCCTGAGAAGTGGATATTACTAATCTTATTTCAGAAATGAAGAAAAGGAGGCCCAGACTGATGCTATATTAAGTACAAAAATAAGATTCAAACACAGATATGCTGGCCTTGAAAGCCTGTGCTATTTCACTCTACCACCCATACTTCATAATATGCAGAGAACCGACTCCACAAAGCAAACGGACATAGAATTTCTGTACATCAGAATGAAGAATTAATTTTAAAAAAAAAACAGAGTAGTAAGATTCAGGGAAAAATTTTGAGTGAAAAATCACCACCATCCCGCAATGGATGGCAGGCACCTGGGCTATGAAGAGGTAATGCCCACCTCATACTCCCAGAGGAAATGCCAGGATGCAACTGGGGCTCTACTTTAGTTTGAGACCTTGAGCAAGTCACCTTGCCCTCTGGCTCATCTGAATAATAATCTTTGCCTGGGTTTCAGCTTGGGGCAGCAAAGCCTGGCCACCAGGCGGCAGCAGGGGAAGTAGGAGGAAGCTAGGCCTAATGATCCAGGAGGTAAGCTCATCAGAACACCCAAGTTCCCGGAAAAGCGAAAGTAGAGGATATTCCTACCTTTCTTGGGAAGAGCAGTCCAGCCAAGAGATGACTCTGAGGCAGTTCCGCGCTCTATGGCTGCATCTGTGAAGCAGAAACAGACCTCAAGCTCTGGGGCAGTGAGTGAGGGCTGCCCCTGGCCCTCTGCAGATACTAGAGGCTTCCAAGTTGCATCTGGGAGAGCCTAACTCAAGGGTGAACAGGCTTGTTCCTTCCTGCCTACATTTATTCATTAAGTGTATATAGCGCTGAGCACCTATTGTGTAGTCAACACTGTTCCACATCCCTTAAAATGGAAAAAAGACAAGCAGGGTTTTTGCTTTTAAAGGGATTATGAGAAGGAACCAGCCTAGTCCAGTCAGCGTGAAAACAAATGTCCAAATGTTGGAAGAAGCATGGGTCTGGAAAGCAGGAGCAAGTCCGCATGGTTGGGAAGAAAGATCGAAGATGAGGTCAAACAGATCAGGTAGGGCCTGGCTGGCTATCAAAAAGGATGGTATTCTAAGTGGTATGAGGACCTGCTCAATGTGTTGAAGGAATGTGGTCCAATTTATGTTTCTTACAGCTCACTCTGCTCAGAAGAGAGTATAGTATTGGCAGGGAAGACTCAGAGGAGGGTGGTGACATGGTGCCATGTTATGGCAAAGTCACCAGAGTCAGGACATGTCTTGTGGAGTTCCAGGACAATGGAAAAAGCAGAGGAGATTCCTGTAACACAGCCCTTCCTGTTCAGAGCCTCCCTGACCCAGGCCCACTCACCACCCCTGCAGATCTCCTCACTCCCTTGGGAACTCACATTTCAAACCTAGACCACTAGAGGCTATGTTTTAAGAGCTTATGACAAGCCCAGTGCCTATGACTTGAGGATACAGCCAGCTGACCTCCATATCCCTATTTGGGGAGTAAGGACATTCTACAGTAGGACTGACCTTTGGCTGACAAGGAAAACCAGGAACTGGCACTTTCTGGCAGATCAGAGCTGTTTGAGCTACACCCACCCGACTGTGTGATCTCAGCCCCAAGGATGAGCAGCATCGCTGCCAGGGGCAGAGATGGGCCAGGTGGAGGACAGGGATAGGGTGCCCGCCCCAACAGCCGTACCCTTGTGCTTTACTACTGATGGCAGACTTTCTGTAAAGTTATTCACAAGAGTTGGTCCCACTGACTTCCCAAGAAGCTAGGGGTCTCCCAGAACAGTGATGAACCTTCTAGAGACAAGTATGCAAAATGCAACCCAAAACCTATTTGTTTATTGCAAAGTGCCAACTCTGAAATTAAACCCGAGTACTGAAGTTTTAGTTTAGAAAAAATGATTCACACATTAACATCTTTCATCTTAAAAGAAGAGCAAATAACATGTGTGCCATAAGTTTGCCGTAAGTTGTCCTAGATAGAGTTCCATTCTCTCTGTGGCGAGACAATAAATTTTACCTTTTGCTTCCTGTGGAGACCTTGAATTCTGTTCTCATTTCTGTATGGATTCCCCTTTTTTTCCTCACTCAAGTCAATTGGCAGAAAGAAGAGACATAGCAGCTCACTCTGCTTTATACCCATTTCTCCAATAGGGTCTCGGGAATGGGAGGCAGAGAAAATAGAAACCAGAACCACAGAGAAGAAGTATTATAGCAAAAGGGTAACAGCCAAGTATTCTTGAAAACTAGAAACACACACACACACACACACATGTACACACACGTACACACGTGTGCTCTTGAAAAGCAACTCTGGAAAGAAGATTAGGCCCAGGATATGAATCTAAACACACCACAATAGCAAACCAAAGTTTCCTGTGCTGTGCAGGAGACAGCCCCCAGGCTGGGGATGAGAAGAGTGGAGAATACACAGATGCCCTCCGGGAAGACAGGCAGCTTGTTCCACATTACGGTTACGAAAGAGCTACAGGACCAGCTCAGACCAGAAATACACACTTTGAAGAAGCCGCCGATCCATATCTCAGTCCTCCTGGTACTACAGTGTATCTGTGCTGTTCGTGATCTCCAGCTTGGCAAGGTCTGTGTGGTGTTGCTGGCAACTAGTATCTGGCCTTTTCCCAGATCAGCTCCTACTCTGCCCAAGAAATTGTTCTTCCATTGCTTGCCAGCTGCAAGGCTGGGGTGGGAGAGGCTGTCACAGCATCTGGGCCCACTCCACCCTAGTCCTCAAGAGCTTTTGGCCATACCATGGTGTGCTTCTGCAGCCTCTTTCCCCGGTCTCCTCACCTGTGGCCTCCAGTTGCACCCAGCTCTGCCTTCCGGCCCTTGCACGGGTGTTCTCTTGGTCTGGAAGTGCTGGCCATCCCCACCGTTCCTCCGTCTCCTATTTTCCCATCCTCTCACCTTCCCCTTTCTTTTCCCATCCTAGTGAAGCACCCTTCCTATATGCTGTAATGAATCATCGTTAGTGGTTAATAATAATAGAAAACAGTGCTTAATGCCAGCAGATACTGTTTTGGAGCATGTGTGATGTGCCCTTAGCTCACTGAATTCTTCCAACTTCTTAAGGTATGACGATGCCCATTGCAAATAAGGAAATTAAGCCACAGAGTTAATTGAGTAGAGCAGGACTCTGGAGCCCTACACAGGCTCTCATGCCCACGTCATAGCCATGCATGCTATAGTTCTGCCCCTACATTGGGGGCTCATAGCTGGGGCTGCATATTAGAATCACCCAGAGATTTTTCAAATCTACCAATATTCAGGCCTACCTTGGGGCAAGAATCTGATTCTCTTACTGGGACCAGCATGAAAACCTTTAAGTTCTCCTCTGGGAAGGGCCTTGCGGCTTATCTGTCTCTACCACCAGGTCTAGGCAACTTGGGAGCAAAGAGCAAGCCTTATCTGTCACTATATTCCCAGAGCCTACCTGGGCACATGAGAGGTGCTCAGCTGTGGGGGGAGGGGAGAAGAGAAAGGGAAGGAAAAAACTTGCCCCAGGAACCCACGATCATAGTCTCCATTCCTTCCTTGACTCCGTCCCTGCTCTGCCAGGCCTGCCTGTGCAGGGGGCAGGCCAAGGATGAAGGGCCTGACCCTGGGTGCTTGGGGGGCCTCGCCACAGCTTGGAGCCAGATGTCCTAGGAGAGGAAACTAAGGCTGGGGACAGGGCACGTACAGAGGGGCAAGGATGCACCAAGAGGGGCGACGGGAAGGACCAACAGCACTTGCCAGAAGGAGCAATAATCTTCATACCCACCTGAGCTCAGAATGTCACCAGCAGCTGAGAACAGGAGGATGCCTGTGCCGGGGGGGGGGGGGGGGAATGGGGGGAAAGTCCCCCTTAGGAATGGCTCAATGCGCCCTTGCACCGAGGGTTACTGTTGCCCCCCCTGTTCTCTCGTTTTCAGCATCTGGTCACCCAGCAAAGCCCAAAGTTTATGGCCAGTGCGTTCCTAGAGCTCTCTCTAACTCCCCACTTATTTCCATGTCCTCTGCTCCACAACAGGCCCTCGCCCTCCTGCTTGGGGTTCTCACCATGTTCCCACAGTGAGCCAGAGGGGCGCCACAGCATCCCCACAGGTTTCCGGCGGTCACAGTGGTTGGCCATTGTAGCCACATGCTGAAGCCCCTGCACCAGCATCCAGCACTCAGCGCCCTGTGCCTGGCACCCAGCCAGCGCCCAGCCTCTGCGCTTTCCAGGTCCAGGACTGGGTCTGGCTGCCTTCTGGCTCTTCTTTCCTGCCCAAGCCTTCCTTTCTCAGGGAAACCTTCCCACTCATTGTATCTGAAGACCCCGGCTGCCCCCCCCCCTTCTACACTAACTTCCTTCATGGCATTTGCCGTATGTCTGTAACTATCCTGCTTATAATTTCCAGGAAGATTTTCTTTAACCTCTCTAGACTTGTTGGTGTAAAGACTGTTTCTGACTGTTACCTACTACTCCGCCTCAAGTAAGTCGCTATTGGTTAGGTTCATTGGTGAGGAACCAAATGGATGGGATTTGGCTGCAGAACAGCAACTGGGTTCTGGCCCTGGGCACCTGGGTTTGTGAGGACAGAGTGAGGAGGATGAGGTGAGGAGCCCAGCCAGGGGCCGAGGCAGCAAGCCAGGCAGAGGTGGCAGGGGACACTTTCTTCTCTCCCCACCACTGGAATGAAGGTCAAAAAACATTTACCTCCTTATACTTTGTCTCCCCTCCAATCTTGCTCTCCAGGAACCTCAGGAGAGCCACCTCATGTCCCCTCCTCTCAGCCCAGGCAGCGTCTTACCTGCCATGCAGAAGGATAGCAGTAGCCCCCATGGCAGCATGGCTGTACCCAGGACAGAGTCACAGACCTGGCACCCCTCACAGAGGCTGTGCCTGGTATTGTCATTTCTTCCATGCTCTCTGGTCTCCTCTTTGGTATCCAAACCAATGGATTTTACTAAGCAAATACTGAGTGCCTGCGTCCCAGCAGCCTCTGTGTGAAGTGCCAAAAATACAGCCTGAAAAGTAGAAATAGCCCTGTCGTCCTCCTAAGTGGGGAGGAAGCAACACAGATCAAGTAGTGACTAATCAGAGAGGTACAGAGGGTGGAGGCTGGAGGTTGCTTGCAGTCGGACAGAGGTTGGAGTGCCAAAGAACTGGGTAGCAAATCTCTGGGGTCCTCAAGGACCAGAGGAGCTAAGGACACAGTGGAGGAGAGGAAAAGAGGGCCTGGGGTGCCAGAAGGGGCCAGCATGTGTGGGCCGGGCTGTAGGAGACAACCTCCACCCACCTCATCCTCACAACCACCACACCGGTGAGACTCTACCATTATCTCCCATGTGTGGGTGAAAAAGCTGAGGCTCACAGAGGTGAAATAACTTGCTTGAGACTACACAGGAAGAAGTATCAGGGCAACAGTGCAAGCTTGGGTGACTGAAAAGCTTGAGATGGGAGGAGGACAACTCCCAAGCCCCTTCAGTAATATCAGATCTCCCCACCCCCACTGTCTAGGTGGTGGTCCCCAGTTAAGCACAGGCTGGAGACCAAGGCGCTTGCTCCAGGGAAACAAAAGCAGCTCTTTGGGTTCTCCTCACTGAAGCATCCCATTTATGCCCAGGGTCTCTGTGTTCTCAGGAAGCAGAGCCTGGAAGACTCTTTTGCTTCCTACCCCTTTCCCCAGAGAGAATGGGCAAAAAAGAAGGAAAAAGAAGTCATTAATACTTCATCAATAATGTCTTGCTGTGATGTCCTCATACAACCTCATCCCTGTGGTGGGACCCATTTGTGCCAGAGCCTGTCACAACCACTGTGTGCAGACAAAGGAGATGGTGATGCTGGCCCAGAAAACATTTCTAAAGCCACCTTGTTCATTTGCCCAGGCTTCTGGTGCACATCTCTTGAATGGCGAGCCTTGCCAGGCCCCAGGCTTCCCACTGGGAGCCAAGAGAAACCCAGAGAGATGTGCAGCAAGCATGAGGGGCCTCTTGAGGACAGGCACCCCCGCCCCGGGGACCTGCGCAGTTATCTCCCAAGGGCAGCACTTGGTGCTTCAGGCTGAAACTCCCTACATGCATTCCCGTCTCCTTTCTCTAGACTGTGAGATCTTGAGAGTAACCCCTATGCCCAGTTCACAAAGTTCTCACCCTGTTATATGGTGCTGCGCTCTGGAATCAATCTGCAAGGAAGAAGCCTGGCAGGGCTGCCATGAAAGCACTGAACCTGAGACTCCCAGGTCCCCAAGCCTTGACACTATGCCTAAGAAATCGCTGAGTAGGGCTGTGACAGGGTAAGCTCAAGGAAACCTGAAAAGCAGGATTTCCCCTCCTGGAAAATGAGTGATTGGAAGATTTGGACAAAACATCTTCATATTAGATGATAGCAGGTGAGAAAGCACCATGATGAGTGCAAGAGGCCTGGTGTCACAAAGGCAGATTCATAAAGCAAGCTGCGAAGACAAGCGCTGTCCATTTCTCTTTTACCACTGTGGGAAGGAAGGAGGGAGGGATCTGGTGAGGGGACTGAGACCCAGGCCTCCCACGGGAACTGCCCTGAAAGAAAGAGCAAGAGACCCTGCGGTGGACCCGGATGTCCGTCATCCTGAGCTCAGGCCACACGTCTCAAGCTAAAAGAAAAGCCAAGCTGTGCTCCAGAAAGTATAGTGAGGGATCAGGAGGGCGGGATACAGGACAGTGGACAGTGGTGATACCGCATGCCCCCAGCGGGAACACTAGAAGATGCCCAGACTCCTGCCAAGTCTCCTTCCGGTGGAGTTTCCATTTTCCTAACTCTGACTGCTGAGATCTGAGAGAGACATGTATAAAACTCAAAGGTTATTTCATTCATTATTATTCCCTGCTGCAACACCACACAGACCTCTGAGAACAGGAATGCGTTACCTACGAGGATTTAGCAAAATATCAATATGACACATACAGCTTGAAGAATGCCTTCTTGCTTCCCAGAATGCTGGGGGTAGCTTACAAGGTCCAAAAAGGAACCCTATCTGGACATTGATCTAGGAACAAATCTCCTATCAAATGTGAACTGAAAGAGCTAAGGTTAGGGTTAGGGTTAGGGTTAGGTAAGACCCGCTCAGTCTTAGGGGACTCAGCGAGGTGGAAGTGTCTGACACTATGAGGAACTGGGAGAGCAACTGTTCCAGAGCTTTCTGGCCCGGAGACTGAGAAAGAAAGAAGGAAGTAACAGCCCCATTCTGCTTGGTCCTAGCCAAAGATAGAAAACTAAGTCAGAAGCCCCAGCAGCCAGGTTGGGCAGGACCAGGTGAGGTTTGAGGACTGTTTGACACAGCAGGCTGCTCTGCAACTTTTGGTTGTGGGACTAGTCATGGTTCTCCTAGGTCCTAGAAAGCCAGGCGAGACTGTCATGACATGATGAGAAAAGCCAGAAATCCTCAGTATTTTTTGCTGTGACTTTTCACTTATCATCAGTTGCATTAAAATAGATGAAGATTTATGGTTTATTCAGATTATGCTTTGTTCCTGAAATAAAGGTACAGAGTTCATATGCTATAAACTGAATATAGTTTTCCACAGAAACAATGTAATGGGATTATGGTTCTAGCCCAAGTATGATATACTATCATAGAAATGATTAGAAATCACATGGTAACCGATGTGCCAATAATAAAAGATATCTGTAAACTGCACAGAATGAACCTGTCGACAGTGTATGTGAATCAATCAATAGAACAATTCAGGAACCAATCATAGGAAATCTCTAAAAAAAAATTATGTAAGTGATTTGTTTTAGTCACTTTCATCACCACTGGGACAAAACACCCAACACCTGCAAATTAAAAGAGGGTTGATTTTGCTCCCAGTTTGTAGAGGTTTCAGTCCATAGACTCTGGCCCCAAGGCAGGATGTTACAGCACAGGGGCAGGGCAGAGGAATGCAGCTCATGATGTGGTAGACAGGAAGCAGAGAGCAAAGGAAAGAGGCAGGAAGGTAGACAGAGTCTTCTACGCCAAGCCCACAGTGACTCATGTCTTCTGACTAGATCAACACATCAGCTTTATACACCCTCATAATCTAATCACCTTCCAGAAGCACCTGTGATCACATGAGGCTTGATGGGGACATCTAGAGAGAAACCAGAACAAGGTTCTCTGGGCCTGAAAAACCCTCACAGAATGTTTCTAGCTGATATTGTTCTCTGGTGACATAGCCACTGGGTACTGCAAAGGTATCAGAAGAACAAATCAGTTAGGGCACATTTGTTTAGCCATGTCAATTCAAGGTTGATTGGAGACCACATCCATTGGGGTTCTTGGTACATTTATGACACATTCCACCCTGATCAAAGGGCTTTCAAACACTGGTCAAATAGGCCTCTAAGCACATTCTGTTCCTCTGGGCCTCTACACAGCTAATGGGATAGACCCTGGGATTTGTACCCTGAATTGAAAGATGCCAAACTTGGAGCCTAAGGCTGTTTTAAAATTCCCTTCACCCTCCCGCCAACATTGTCTTCATGAAACAGATAAAACCCTCAGGATCTTTAAAGAAAAGGAAATCCAAATGCTGTCACCTTGGTGAAAAGAGACCGACCGTGGCTGCCTCTTCTTTTGTGCCAAGAATAGCCTTTTGCCTGAAAGCTCAATGGAATATCAGTGGACTTCATGCTTTTTCCCTGGTACTAACAGAGTGTGCCGTGCATGGGTTTAGGAGGCGCATATCTGGGATTCTGTAGATAAGAACAGTTACAGCCTATCAGAACAAAGTCATACTGCAACATACTACAACAGCACTTCAACCCAGTCTTCATGTAGTTGCAAAATATTTTTAAAGAAGGATATGGCTCATCCAGGTTCACTAGATGGATTTCCCTAGCCCTTCCTGAATATATGGATAACAACATTATACATTTGGAAATGAACAGTAAATGCTGTGAGAAGGTCCAAGCCCAGAGCTGTAAGTCTGTTGCTAAATTTCTGTCCAAATGATCACATCGTGTATGTCTGTGTATTTGTATGTGCGTGTTTACACTGAGTTTCATGCTGAGACTCTGATTCTTTTAGATCTACTTCCCTAATACATAGGTCAGTGAGTTCATCTGCTGCGTTTGGCTAGTAGACAGCTCATTTAGCTAAGCAAAGCAAAGCAAAGCTCATTTTACTGCAGGTCCACGGAGCTCTTGGTTCAAAGCAAGAGGAAAAGAAGGTGCCCAGTTTCTCAGGGCTGGCAGATGTTGATACAGAGTCAGTGATTTTTACCACAGTTCCTGCTCAGCACTGTTAAGGGTCCCTGAAAATCTGTGGAGAAAGAGCTCTCTTCACCATGTGGCCAGTGGATCTGGGAATTGTGAGCAACACGGTCAGAGGAACCTAGCAGTTGCAATTCCCATTTACACATGAAGAAATGAGGCACGGGAAGCTCACCACCACCCGACCCTCCTGGTAGCTGTTTGGTGACAGACACACTCTCTTCTCGGGCTGTGACAGTATTCATGGCTGTCACTGGGTTGGGGCTGGGAAATCACCATCTAGGAAATGCATCAAAAATACAAACAGCAAGCAGCTCTGGAGGAAGTTCCAGTGGCCTGGCCTCAGCAAGGAAAGGCAAAGAACTGCAGGAAAGAGGAGGGTGAGTGTGAGGCATGCTGCGTGGTGTGGGCATGTGACGCACATGCAACCTGCATCTGTTGCTGGACTCCTGGGCTGTCTGCTCTGAGAGAGCCCACTTCAGTCTTTTCTGTGTCAACTGGAGCCATTGAAAAAAACAAGAAGGTAGAGGAGAGTGAAATGCCCAGGAAAAGAGGAAAGGAGAAATCAGTCTCACAAACCCAGATTTCTAATGGTTTTGGGTCCCGCTGATTCTATATGCCTGGGTTGCTCCATTTAAGCACAAACTATACTATGCTTAGAATTGCCTTTAGTAGTCTTTTCCCTTCAAAGGCTCCTCACCTTCAGCACTGTGTACATACTGCTTCTTGCCCTCTTTTCCTTGTGTTAGAAGAGCCAGGAGAAGAGATGAGGGAAGAGTTCCATGGCAGGAGAGCACAGTAGAGATGGAAAGTAGACTCCAGAAGCCATCTGTCTGTGGCAACAGCTCCCCGGGTCATGGGTGAGTTCTGCTTCCAGAAGAGCTGTGATTCCTGGGAGGCGTGCCTTGTGCCTTGGCCATGACACCCATGGTCCTCAGCAATGTGAACCTTTCCTGCTGCAGGAAGGAGACCCTGTGGCTTTCAAACTTGGCCCGAGCCCCACATCTCAGTGGCTGAGACATGCAGACCCAAAGCTGTGGTGACACTCCAGGTTGGCATTGTGACCTCAGCTGTTCCGCACATAAAGAGGAAGTCACCCACCTCTCACTTTGGCCCGTAAGTTACATAGGACAGTGGGCTGGTCCTGGGGGCTTTTGTGGGGTGGTGGGGAATCTGAAGAACACCCTGGCTTCTACCATCATGGCCAAGAGGGCAGACCTGAAGAAGACAATCCTGGTAAAGGAGGAACACTGCTGGATGATGTGGGGCCTCCATGAGCTCCTATGAGTAGAGATGGGGTAGGGAGGACACTGAGCATGTGCCAATATTAGTACATGTGCTGCTGAAGCCAGCTCGAGAAGGTGCCAGCAAACCTCCCATATATTGTTCTCTATTCTGAGCATAAGTGGGCTCTCAGCTTGGAGTGAGTGTGGGATGGATGCCCATGGGGCATTCATGGGGTGGGAAGGAAAAGGCCTCCACTGACTCCCCCTCTATAGCACTTCCTGCTCCTCCGACTACTCACAGCTCCATGCCACATACCTACCTCCAATTGGCAGCCTAAGGTTCAAAATAACTTTTCTAGATAAATCTACTAAGCACATCTATGTCATAAACAAGGAAAGGGAGGCTCAGAGGGACTAACTTACCCAAGTTGTCAAGCAAGGAAGAAAGAACAGCTGAGATTGGGACCTGGTCTATCCCCCAGGCCCACACCCCTGGAACAACCTGTATCACACTCCCTTAGAATTCTTTCACTCCAGGTTCCTCCACCTGCTGAATGGGCAGCCCTCTGCTCATTAGGACAACATGACCAGTTGAGCTGTCTCGAAACAGATCAGATGCTAGGAAATATATGGGTCTGTGCTCAAGAGCAGCTAGAGAGCAGGGGTGGGGTGTGGACTTCTTGCAAGGGCTGGATGCTATCTTCCCCCAATCCTAATGCTTCCTCTCTCTTAGCACAAGAACTACAAGGCCGTTTGCCCGAAATTGAAGCCAGAGACAACCAAAGTAAGAAGCGTTTTTGTAGCCATGCCAACAGACAGGCCTGAGATCCGTGGGGAGATGACTTGGAGTCAGGGGTCATTTTCTGTTCCTGGTGGCCAAGATCTCTCCCAGGTGCGAGGTTGCAATGAGAGAAACAGGTTCTTTGTTCTCAGAGACCTTCATGCTAGTAACCAATCAGATACATAAGTGGAACAAGCTGAGCTCCAAGAGGGAGGAGGAGAAGAAACCTCTGCAGAGGGAGGGCCACCGGCTTTTGTCTCTGTCACTGTCCCTAGGGAGGGACAGAAACTTGGAGGGTTCTCTCCTGCCTCTGCAATGCCGCCCTCATCTGCAGTTTCCAATGTTCTGTGTTTCTGTTTCAATCACAGACATACAATTTCAAAGAAGTTCAACACAAAGGGCCGTTTGCCAAAACAGGGATGACACAGGAGTTAAAGGTCAGTGTGTGAGCTCAGGGCTGACGGGCTCTGACTCCGGGGTGGACGCGGCACTTACGGCCTTGAGACTTCATTCTCTCTGTGTCCTTTTTATTCTTTTATTTTGAAACCATTTTAGACTGTAAAATTTGGGAGAAATAGACAGCGAATACTAATGTATTCTATACCCAGATTCCTCAAATGTTGGCATTTTATCATGGTTGCTGTATTTCCTCTGTCTTTCTCTGCATATACACACACACCATCAGCCCTTTGTATCCATTTGATTCAACTAACCTCAGATTGAACATATTTGGAAAAAAATTATGTCTGTACTGAAATTTGTGTCTGAACATGTACAAAATTTTTTCTTATTCTCTGTGCAATGCAGTATAGCAGATACCATTTACATTGTATTAGATATAAGTGATGTAGAGATTATTTAAAGTACAGGAGAGAATATGCACAGGTTATATGCAAATATTATATCATTTACATAGAGGATGTGAGCATCTGTAGATTTGGGTATCTGCAGGAGTTCCTGAAACAAACCCCCTCAGATACCTAAGGGCAGCTGCATGACTTCCTATTCCAACATGTCCTTTTCCTAACACTGAGAAGGGATTAAGACTGTCTCTCCCCTTCCAGGGTGTCTCTGATACTCTACATCATGGAGGGTCATGGAACCAATTGTCCATGGATACCAAAGGATGACTGCATGAACTATTTGAGAGTAAATTTTTACCAGTCTTCAGCACGTATTTCTTAAAAACAAGAACCTTCTCTTACGTGTTCATAGTAGAATTTTCAACACTAGGAAAGTAACATGGATACAGTACTGATCTGTAGACTTTATTTTCATCTCACCAATTGTGCCACTGTGTTTTTCATTTAAAAAAAAAAAAACTAAAACAAAGAGAAAACATACTTTTGGCCCAGGACTTAATCCAGGATCGCACGTGGCTTCTAACTGCTATATTTCTTCATTTTTCTTTAATCTGTAATTGTTTTTTACTCTTTTCTCAGGACATTTTTAAAGATTACAGATCACTTATTTTGCTGAATGACCCCTAATTTGGATTTGCCTGATGTCTTAGGTTGTAGGTTTAGGGCAGCCTTCCAAAGAAGTGATGATGTGCTCTTTCCCGTGCATCCCATTGGGAGACCCACGATGTCTGAGGTCCCCTGACCACTGTCTTAGCATCCTCTCCTCCTTATGGAAGTTTCCCTCTGTCCCTTTTTGGAAGTGCCCCCAGGATCTGTCCTTTCTTCCCATGAAAAGTTCTCTTCCATCCAAGATTTTTGTTTACTCCCTCTTTCCTTCATTTCCTTTTCTCAGAATGAACTCAGAGAGGTGAGAGAAGAACTCAAGGAAAAAATGGAGGAAATAAAACAGGTAACCAGGCCAGCACTCAGGACTCTGAGGCAGGAGGATCGTTGCAAGTTCGAGGCCAGCTGGGCTACAAAGTGAGCTCAAGGCCAGCCTGAGCTGTATAGCGACACCCTGTCTCAAAAAGACAAAAGACAAAAACGTAACAGGATAAAGTTTTATGTAATATATAGAGAACATACAGCTTCAAAAAATGCAATTTCTAACTTTTAAATGTAAAAGGAATGATGAATGGCATATGAAAAGCAAATCGACTTCACCCCTTAGAGTACTTATGTGTTAAGCACATTTAGATATTCATTTCTTACTAGTTTGATGCCTAAACCCCATTGTTGAATGACCAGAAGTTCCCTAGGACAGTGGGGGCAAACCTCTGCCTCCATTGGGTGTATATATCACTGAAAGCTCTAAAAGGTTTGTTATCACTGGCTGGATGTTGAGGTTGCCTGGTGTTAGCTCTATGGTAAAGCTGAGTGAGGGGTTGACATGGGATATGAGGGCTGTCAGGAACCCACTGCGTCCCCCTCCCTTTGGCGAGCAGCATGGCACGAACCCTTGTTTCTAGGACACAGGCCACCCATGGCCTATTTAGGGGGTAGGAATAATCAAGCAAGACCCGTGTAATTGTGATCCGAGCTTCATCTACAAGCCTTGTAAGAGCCCCAGCCAAGCCACGCCAAGCCTGGCAGTGGAGTGACCTGACAGTATACACACTGCAGTCCTCACATAGACTCCTGGAAAGAAATGATTTTAACAGGACCTTATTAGTCCATGCCAGCGGTACAGCTGCCACTCTTTGCTTAAAATGCCCCAAGGATACCACACTTGACTTCAGCAATATACTCTGTGCTTTTATCAAGTATACTTTTCTTCCTGATTAGATAAAGGACATAATGGACAAAGATTTCGATAAGCTTCATGAATTCGTGGAAATTATGAAGGTAAGGCTTCACTGAATGCCTTCCGTTGGTCAGTGCCACATTAGAAACTGTGAAAGAGATGCTGGGCCCTGCCCTCTAGGTGCTTATAACATGGTAGGAGACCCAACCCCCACTGCAAGAAATAATTGCAAGCACAATTGCAGGCAATTAGGGATTTAGAGACCCAAGTAGTGAATGTGGGCTAGAAAAACAAGAGAAGTCCTTCTGGGGAAACTGAGTCAACCGAGCCTGGAAGATTACATTGGCAACTTAACACAAATCTAATAAAAAGAAACCCAGTAAGATCAGTTGTTTTTTTAACAAAAACAAACAATACTAGATGATAATCTGGATCCTATACAGCGGCTCAAAAACTTCTTAGTGTATTTCAGAATCAACCAGAATACTAACAAAGAAAATGGATCCCAAGCTCATGTTTAGACAAAAATTGGGCCCTGTGTATTTTGGCCAACCTCCCCAGGTAAAAGTTTGACAGCCACTGATGTAGAAGCACGAACAGGTAAAAGCCGATGCTAGACATTTTTCAAGAGTTATAAGGGGGCACTACCCCTACCAGATAATTAAAATTCATTCTAAAGCCACAGTGTCTATCAGGGTAGAGCTCAGGGATACACAGATAAACGCAGGAGTGGGAACAGGCACCCCTGTAACAGCCTCTCTGCCAAGGATGCACTGAGAGCCCCACATGAGGACTTGCTATCCAGCCTAGAGAGACTAAATAAAACTGTCCCCGAGGAGTGCAGCTGCTCACCACTCCATAAGAGATTGGTGGAGAACCAGGTCCTGCCGCTCAAGCAGTACCATCAACTTGGCTGCATTAGGATCTGCTCAGGGTGAGTTTTGGCCCTTCTCCCCCTAAACCCAGGCTGTACCCCATAATAACGAGGCTGGGAACTTTGGGGGTGAGGTCAAAGCACTAGTAGTTTTTCAAATTGCCCAGATGATTCCAATATATGCTCAAGGCAGAGAATCACAGTTCCATAAAATTTTAAATATGATAAAGGCAATGTTCTTCAGTATATGTGAGAAGGAAAGGAATATGTAATAATATTAAGAATATTTCTTGCTTGCATGAGGAAAAAGCAGTTCAGAGCACAGCAGATAGAAACAGTCCATAAGGAGAGTTTAAGAAAAGCCAATTAAAAGTTATAAGTAAAAATTTAATTGGATATTCTAAATATAACTAGAAGAAATCAACTACTTCTAAGAAGATAGGGATATATTTAACTATAAATAAGTTATATCAGGCATGGTGGCTCTAACCTGTAATCCCAGGAGGCTGAGGCAGGAGGATTGTTCCAAGTTTGAGACCAGCCTGGGCTACAAAGTGAGCTCAAGTCCAGCCTGAACTGCATAGCAAGACCCTGTCTCCAAAAAAGACCAAAAAAAGAGTTATACTACTAAGTTTTTTTTTTTTTTAAAGGAATACAACGAGCTAGGAGTGGTGGCACACACTGTAATCCTATCACTTAGGAGGCCAAAGCAGGAGGATTGCCACCAGTCTGGGCTATGTAATGACTTCAAGGCTGGCCTGAACTACATAGTGAGGTCCTGTCTTTAAAAAAAAAAAAAAAAAAAAGACAAAAGAACAAAAATAGACAAAACCACCATACACACACAATTTTAAAATAATGGTTTGGGAAATAATTTTGTAAAAACTGGTAAATACAAAGAAAAAGCTTTTATCCATAATATACAGAGCTCACTAAAATTAATGAGAAACAAATAGGAAAACAGGCAAAGACATGAACAAAAAAGAATATAACTGAAAAGCAGTAAGTACGTGTAAAAAGTTTTACCTCAGGGCTGGGGATTTAGCTCAGTGGCATAAGCGCCTGCCTTGCAACCGTGTGGTCATGAGTTCGATCCCTGGTACCGGCAAAAATACAAACAAAAAAAAAAAGTTTTACTTCATGAATAGTCAAATACATGTGGGTGAAATGATAATTGTCACATTCAAACCAGCAAATTTTAACTTTATGAAAATTATATGGTGAGTCAGAAATGCTCTTACACTCTTGACTGGAGTACAAATTTGTACAAACTTGGAATGTCGTTAGATAATAACCATCAAGAAATATACAACTTTTAAATTCTATTTCTCAGAATTTAATGTGTGAGACTAATTAGAAATGCCAGTCCAAGTATACATTAAAAATGTTCACCACTGGATTAAATATAATATTTTGGAAATAACCACAATTTTCAACAATAGAGGACAGCCAAGTAAATTCCGGTGTACCCACATAGCGTAAGTCAGGAACTATTAAAGACAGTGTTTGTAAAGGGTGCCTAAAGAATTAAAAAAGCAAGACATAAGTAAACATCCACTGGCCAATCTCGACTAGGTGGGAACAAAAGTAGGTTAGGAAATACACACACAGGAAAAAAACTGGCAAGACAAGTACCAAAGGGGGCAAGAAGCTTGCTTTCCTATATGTATGTCCTTGTGTGTTACCCAGATTTTTCTGCAGAGGGCACGCGGTGCTTTCATACTAGAATGCAGGCGCCTTAAGCATTTCGCGAGTGAGCAGGGCCAGGTGTGGAAAGGCACGGAGGAGGCTGTTTCAGGGGGGACAGCTGGAGCGCGGCAGGAGGCAGGAGGCAGCCGAGAAGAGGGTCCGCTGGGGGAACTGGAGAAGCAGAACTGGCTGGGCACAAAGTCAGCAGGTCGTGAAGGTCCTGCGGAGGCCTCCACAGATGCTTAATGGCAGAGCGCGCTGGGAGCAGCTGGCTGCGCCCGGGTCCGGTGGGAGCAGGAGGGACTGCGGGCCCTGGTGAGGACAGCTGGGTTAGGGTAGGAAGAGAAGGAAGGGTAAATCAGAAGGATGCAGGAAAGCAAACGTAAGAGCTCTCGGTGCCAGATTCCATACCCAGAATGAAGCCAACAGAGTGAGGCAAGGCAGGATGCCACCAAAGTCGTCATCTGGATGGTTGGAAGGGAGTGGTGACAATGACAAGAGCACTGGGAAATACAGGGAACAGGAGATCAGGCCGATGCATTCTGAGTGTGCGGTGGTAAGACGTAAGGACACAGGACACTGTGACTCTGACACAAGCCAACTAGACACTGTGGCTAAAAAAATTCTGTTCAACACCTTTCCTAAAATTTAAAAATGTTTTCAAAGTATTATCTGAAATTATCTTTCCCCAAAGAATATAATTTCTTAATTTTCTACAACAGATTAAACTGGGTCTAGCTGTTTCACTTTTTATGAAAATTACTTTTAATGAAGTAAATGATTTTCACTTACATTTTATAATTGATCTGGATTTTCCCCCATAACAAATATCATCAGTTATAACTTCTGCCACCTTAGACTGCATCAATTGCATTATTTAGCTTCCCAAGGTCAAATTTTATAGATCTAACTTCTGCCAAGAATTTTTTTTTTAATCTTTCAGTTCTTTGTGAACAGTAAGCATGCCATGTTACTACAGTGACTGTCAATTTTACCTTGTGTCGACCGTTTCTGCCAGGGCTGGGTAAAAATTAGAACACACAAAAATATAGGCCAGGGTCAGAACATAAGAATTAAGTGTCTCTGGGGTACAAGATAGTTTTCTTGCTCTTACCATTTTATAAGCATCAAACCAAAGCAGCTATGTGTTTCCCATCTGAGATCAGTGTCTGGCTTTTCACTCACCCAGAGGCCTTGGATAAGACCCCTAATGGCTGCCTGTGCTTTGGTCTCACCACGGAACGGGGCTGTCTTGGAGGGAAAATAGGTCCAGGAGGGTCATGGAGAGTGGCCAGCAGCCACTTTGGTCACGTCTTGAGAAGATTCTTGAGGAAGTAAAATGCAGAGAGAGAGAGAGAGGCTCAAAAACCCTTAACAAGGAAGGTTGTAGTCTTGAATTCTCTCTTGAAGGAAATGCAGAAGGATATGGATGAGAAGATGGATGTTTTAATAAACATACAGAAGGACAACAAACTGTAAGTGTAACTTGGACCCATCACTCCTCGTCCCTAAAGCGTCTCCCTCCTCCTCTTTGCTGAATTCCCTCAAGATTCAGAAGGAATCAGACTCCTCCAGGAGTTGTGGCTCCTGCTGCCCCGATGGCTTGGAGCTGAGGCCTTCCATGGCCACCTGTGCATTGACAGAAATTGTCTCCCCAACTTTCCACCTCTCCCTCCTCCCCAGCCCTCTTCAAAGAGGATCAAGGGACCATCACGACCACAGGCTGATGGGAATGACGGACATCGACCCCCAGCTTAGGCTCAAAAGAGTGGACAGAGCGAATAGAACATCGTTGCCTCTTCACAAGATGATGGAACCGCAGAAACCAAAAAAGGACCCAATGGATTCAGTCCATCAGTGCAGGAGCTGCTGTGTAAGTGAAGCCTGCCTGAGCCCAGCTCTGGTCCTGGAGCTCTGGCTGCTCTGCCCCGCCCTCTCCTACGCTCTTGCCGTGGAAGGAGCTGACACCAGCCCACACCGCTGGCCCTTGGGCGCCTCCCAGACTGGAGCCCTTCCTTACTTGCTTTGCCTCCTATTCCTGTGGCTCTTCCTAAGCCACGACCGTGTAGCACTTGATCCTGGTTGTGCCTGCTTCCAAATTCCACTGTATTATTCTGTCCTTTCCTATAGCAAGGCTTGATGAGGTGCCCAGCAGGTTGGCCACCTGGGACCAAGGAAAAATGACCTTTCTTGTGCCGTTTCTGTCCTCTGCAGGAGAAATGTATGTTGTGTGCCTTAAAGACCAACTACAATCAGGGGTAGGTAGATCCATACAAGAAGTGCCTCATCTCACTGGGTGTCTTGTTATCCCAAAGGGAGTGTGCCTTCTCGTCAAACCCCCACCTGTGGTTGTGCAGGGAGTAGGGATATTAGTGGACTCTGCCACTCAGCACAACCACTCAGTCATAGAGGACGTGGCACCAGGAAGGAGGACTTGGGTGGCCAAGCCTGAGGCTGCTCCCCAGAAGTTCCCATGGTGGGGAGGGCGCCCCACCAGCTGCAGACCTGACCTTGCCTCAGGGTCTTGCCTTTCTCCCCACCTAGCAGGAAACTTTCACACCAGACCTGGGAATCGTCTTCACCATTGGCATCTGGGGCTGCCTTCTGATGTATCTGTGCCTCTTCCCCAATAAGATGGAATATGTGCTTCCAACGTAGCGTGGCTGCAGAGTCCACCAGCAACTCTGCTTCATCCTTTCCCCACTCCCTGAGCTGTACCATAAGGATTTGCTACCCTCTTTAACACCATCCCTACCCAGGCCTCCACCCTAAGATTAAAAATCTCCTTTTAAAGCCACAAGGAGTGTCATCATTTTGAATACTAGTCCAAAATTTGGATGTGCAGGATGTTAGTAGTTTTGTTCTAAATCAGCCCCTCTCTGCTTCCTGATGAGTCAGTCGGAGGGTGCATCCTAGTGACCATGGGTCTCCCCAACTCTGTTTTCCTCTGTTCCACCTGGTCCGTGAAGATCTCAGCTCAAAGTCTTTGGAGGCAGCAGAGATCTCGGGTGCCAGTGTGTGTGGTCTCAGAATATTCCCCATGGCTCTTACCCCTCCTCCTCACATTCTCAGCTCCTGCAATCTGCACGGAGCCTGGACATTATGGGTGATTCCCATAATGTCCCAGGAACTCCCAGGACTTTGTCTGATCTACGGTGCTCCCCTCTGAAGTCTTATCAAACAGCACTCAGATTCCTGCTGCTCAGAGGAACTTGGGCTCTGGGTCTCACCTTCCTCTCCTCTTTGAAGCTCTCCTGTCTTCCTCCCTTCTAAAGGAATTGCATCCCCTTGACAAATTGGGAAGGAGGCAGTGACCTTCTAGTTCCTCTTGTCCCCTCTGTCTCTGCCCCTAGTCCCCTAACTAGGGGAAGATGGAACTTGTGGGCTAGGAATCAGAGGAAAAAGAGAGGTGGAGAAGACATCTCAGTACTCTATCATGCCGCTGATCCGATTCTTTGGCTTCAGCTTGACAGAGGATGAATAAATAGGATTCCATATTTGTTTTACACAAGCTCTTTCCTTGTTTATCTGTCTGCTAAGTTGGCTGCTTCTACTTTTAGATAGTCCAATAAACTGGTCAAATTCTTAATGGAAGGAACAATATATTTGGTGCTTCAGATACACATTTGAAAAGCAAAAACCAAAACATACCATAGGCCTTACTCTAGAGAAGTTTATAGTTTTAAGAGAAATGACAAAAATGCATCACGAAAATGTACACTGTAAGTAAATAAGTACAAATAGCATGTAATGAGAGTAGAAATGGATCAGATATGAGGAACAGAGCAAGGGTGGGTGTAGCCCTATATTTTTTGTTGTGGCTGCAACAACTTGATGGTATAAGACAACAAGAAATGAATGTTCTGGATTAAAAATCGAATTGTCAGCAGCTCTGCATTCTTTCTGGAGGCTCTGGGAGACTCTGCCTCTTGCCTTTTCCTGCTCAGCAGGCTGCCTTGGCTCCTGGATCCCTCACTTCTTCAAAGCCAGCCATGGCTTTGAGGCCATCCTGAGCCTGACTTTTCTCCTCTTGCTTCCACTCTTAAGGACCCGTGTGATGACGCTGAGCTTGAGTGGGTAATCTAGAGTGTTCTCCTTTTTTAGGGTTAGCTAATTAGGAACCTGACTTCCTCTTTGCCGAGTAACATAGCATATGCACAGGCCCAGGGAATTAGAACATGGGGATCCTCGGAGGACATCGTTCTGCCTACCACAAGAGACTTCCCAGGCCTTGTTTATTGCCACTGTCTTCATGACTTGACTCAGAAGCAACCTACAATTCTGTCATTAGTTATGACTAACCCACACTGAAGGAAAGAGTATATTAGAGTTCTAAAACAAAGCCACCACCCCACAGAGGAGGGCATTGTCCCCGGGTGTGTGCAGGTTTGGTGGCCTGTAAGGATGGTTCTCGATCTTCCAACGCAGCAGTTGTTTTGGATCCTGGTGTTGACTCCTGAGACTCCTGGCTTCCTTGGCTCCTGTTTTTGCAGCCCTGTCTTCTTTTTTGTCTCTCTGTTATAATGGTCTTCTGCTGCCTTAAGCGGTATGGGCTGCTGTAACATAATACTGTAAACAACAGAACTCTTGTTTCTCACAGTTCTGCAAACTGGGAAGTCTAAGACCAAAGCACCCACAGATTCAGTGTCAGCCTGTCCCTGGTCCACAGGCAGCGGTTTCTCACTGTGTCCTCACATGGCAGAAGGAGAAGGGAGCGTTCAGATCTCTTCCATAAGGCACTGATTCCATTCATGAGGATTCTGCCCTGAGGCCTGGTCACCTCCCAAAGTCCCCCTCAGCTTCTATCACCGTCCCCTCCAGGAGCATCTGCTTACATGTCAATGCAGACAACCTCTGCGCTTTCCGCACACCCTTTTACTATTTCCATAGGACCTAATTCTCTTCTTTCTTGAAAACTGAGGAGAGAAATCAACACCATAGTCCCAGAATGAATGCATTGTTCATTCAGTGAATGATTATGTAGCATTCAATCAGTCTTGACCCTTGAGAATCAGAAGACCAAATCCAAATTAACACAGGCCTTCCTGGAAGACATAAACCAAATTTCAGTCTAGAGTCTAAATTAATTAATTAGTGAAGAAAAGAAAAGTGGGATGGAACAAAAGAGAAAGTCCACATGACCTTAAAATCCAATCCCTGGTCCTGTCCTTCAAGTTCGGAAAGAATAGCACATTTTGCTTAAACGAGTATCCGTCATCACAACTTGATTAATTATAAGATGCTTTTTCCACTCATTTTCTCTTTAGCATTCATCTGCCATCTTCTTACTCCTACCAAATAAGCCAGCTGAGAGGGAAATGCAAATTTGAGAGAAGCTAATGTCAACTTTGCTGTAAAGAATGGATTTAAATAGTGGTCCCAAGTCTCTGTCAGATGACCCCCAAGCCTTGGACTCAAGCCCTGACCTCCCACCTGAGCTTAGATCTCCCTATCTCTGAGCCCTCACTATCTTCTCAAACTCAACCCAGCCAAAAGTAAACTCCTCACCTGTTTCCCCACATCCCTTTTCTGCCTGACATCCTGACAGAGGTCCTTGCCCTTGCTCTGCTTCCTGACAGATGGAGCACAGGAGGATCTCTAGCCGAAGGCTGGACCATGATCCCCATAAGGGTTTTATTCAGCCCATCTGTCTGCCTGACAAACTTAGCACCAGGCAGGTGAGAGGAGCCCTGAGGTGCTGTGGGGCTCAGAGCCCCTCCTCTGAGCAGCCAAGCCCTGCTGCATCCCTCCCCCAAAGCTCTTTGGGTTATTTTAAGGATTTCTCAGAATGTGAGGAAAGTACTGATGACAGGGCTGGTAATGGAAATTTCTTTCCTCTTGAGAGGATGAATCTTGGACAGCTCTTAGGGCCTTCCTGGAAGAGCTGGGAATAAGAGAAAGTGATGTATGTTTCCTCAAGGCAGGCTGCAAACAGTTCATCGATTAACCTCTACTTCTGCCACTCATTGAGTGTGTAGATGTGGAAAATATTCCCTATTTCTGCTACTGCTACTACTTGACCATTCAAGTTTGACATTTTCTCTCTCCTTCCCGTGGCAAATGAGCTAGCAAGTCCCAGGGAAACTTTATAAGATTCCCAGATCCCCCTCATGTAGACTCAAGTCCAAGCTCTAAGCATCTGGATCTTGATTACTTGCCCTAGCTTCTGACCCATTCCTCTCAGCTCCAGTAGTCTCTACTCAGGCCCGGAATCCATGCGCACACCACTTCTAGCTACGGCTTTCAACTCTCTAGCCCATCCTCTTACTCACAAATCTTCAGCATCCATTATTTACGGAGTAACATCTATTCTCTTTAGCCTGTCATTTAAGACCATGCGTTTTTAATCATACATTTCTGAACTTTTCTCCTCCATTCCCATCTATAAATCCTGCCCACCTGTGACCTTCACCATATCCTTACCTGTGCCCTCCTTATTCTTTCCCCTCTTTAAAGACTCCAGACCTCTGAAGGATTGTCCTCTGTCTCCACACAGCTCCTCAGAGTCGTGGTAAGTAGGTCAGTTGGCCACTTAGAGACATTTCCCATCCTTGTACTCTTTCTAACTTGCATGTATCTGTCCTGTGCATACAGGTGGTCAGTTTCCAGAGATGGTACATGTCTTCTTCCTTGGCATGAAGGTCAGAACTCTGTACTCAGTGGTGCTCAGGAAATACTATCTGCCACCCTTGTATGGCCTAGCGGGTGGAATTCACATGTCAGCCTACTTCGCCTTCTCTCACACTCCCAGAACTTACAATCTTGCCATCATGAACATGCTTGAGAGGTCACAGCATCCTAGCAGTGATTTCTTCCTGCTTGGATCCCTCCAGGATCCAAGTTTTGCAAAGATCCCAAGAAAACTTCCCAAACTATACATACTTTCAGCCTAGATTAGGTTGGGAAATACATGTAAGTGATTGTGTCACGTACTCAGATTAGCTGATAGGATGAGGACATTTTCTCCCAATCTAAGTAGATTTAAAAATTAAAAGAGGCCATGGAGAAGTAGTCACCAGGGTCAGCTGAAGCACTGTTTTCTCCGTGCAAATGCTCATGCAGCTCTGAGGACTAAGCAGCAGTGGACAAACTCCCCCTCCCCTGACCACCCCTTGACCCTTCCTAAGCTCACCCACCCCAGCCCCACATCACCCAGCTCAGGGGCAGCAGGACAGAGGGGTGTGTGAGACACATTTCCCTGACAGTCAAACAGCTGTTGAGTGTGCCCTTGGGGAGGGATCCTCAAGGAGCCACAGAGATAATTTCTGCTAACACTTTGTACTGGCCAGCTTTGCTGACAAGTTTGCTCTTTTTCTATAGATCTCAGTGTCACCTTAGGTGGAACGTGTGGTACTTAACCGTGTCTCTTCTCCACAGGATGCCATTCTTGTCCCGCATACACAGTTGAGGAGGGGAGTTCTCTCCTGTCTGGGACCCCATTTTTTTGTGCTACATGATCTTAGCCTTCTGGACATATGTAGGACTTAAACAATTGGATCAAGATTGTTATCCAACTCAATTGGCTTCCAGAACTGAGAGCTGGGGATTCAATTAAAACAAAGCAAAACAAACCTGCTGTGATAACAATGACAAGATCAGACTTGCTATTTCTTGAGTCAAAGGCCTTCAACTCACAGTCCCAGTTTCCTGACACTCTGGCCAACTCCAACCACAGGCAGGCCTGCAACAAGATGAATTCACATCTACTCTAATTTAAAAAGTAAACAAATGACTTGTAGCTGTTTTGAAAAGAGGAAAGATGTGTGTAGTAAGAAATTACACAATAGGAAAATGTAAATA